TAGATTAGATAGAAGGAAGTGAAAGGAGGGGAAGGCAGGGAATGTGGGGATAAGAAAAATAGTAGAATGAAACAGACATTATTACTGTATGTATGTATGTGACTGTATGACCAATATGATTCTATAATATGTATACTCAGAAAAATGAGAAATTATATCCCATCTATATATGATACACCAAAGTATATAAGTGCATTCTACTGTCATGTATAATTAATTAAAACAAATTTTAAAAAAAGAAAAAGCCAAAAAAAAATTACATGCTGTTGATATATAACAACAATAGTATCATAAGAGCAAGAGTTAACCATTTAATAGTACACTTCATATCATCATTGTGTTCCTCAGTCCTTGTAACAAACCTGCAAGGGAGGAATCTTACTTTTGAGGTAATTATTTTTAAATGACCACAGATTCTTTGACAGTCTTCCCTTCAAGCACACATCCTTTGAATCTGAGTGAGCTGGTGACTGTTAAACTAATAGACTAGGGTAGAAATGACTCTGTGGGTCTTCTAAGGCTTGGTATTGTAAGGGCATGTGGCTTCCTTTTGTTTGTCACATCCACGTCTTAGACTCCTTCAGTGTGAGAAACCCATGCCGCATAGAGTAGCCACATGTAAGTGGGCCAGTCTACTGCCCCAGATGAAAAGAGTCCTCAAGTTATCCCAGGTCAGAAGCCAAGCCAATAAGTGGCCAGACTAGATGATCATTTATATCTTCCTAGCTGAGGCCTCAGGTGGAACAGAGAGAAGCTATCTCTGCTATGCCCTGTCTGAATCCATGAATATGATAAAGTGGTGGTTGTTGAATAGCACTAAATTTGGGGTAGCTTATAATACTGTGATGAGTACCCAGGACAAGCCTTATGTGAACCTAGGATAACCAAGGCTCAGAGTATTTTGATGATTATCCAAGATGGCCCTGCTGGGTCTCAGGGCATTAAGGTTTGAAATAGGTGTGTCAGATCTCATGCCTCATCCCTTTCTTTGGCATTAGATCACTGTTATAGAGAAAATTCAGTGCAAGGACATTTCCTCTATTAATCACAAAATTAGAAAGAGTCTTTTCAAATCAGACTGTCTACTTCTTTGCTAGCAAATATGCCAACATTGAAACTGTCTCACTTTCAAGTGTTGCTCAATTTCCTTTGATAAACTGTTTTGGTAGTTTATAACTTCTTTAGCCTAACTAATCCAGAGGTCTGCAAACTTGCCAAGGGAACAGACGTAGCCTGCTATACAATTTTACAAATGAAATTTTCCTGGATAAGAGTTATATCCATTCATTTACATATTATCTAGCTACTTTGTACTGAAACAGCAATGTTAAGTATTCATGACAGAGAATACATGACCCACAAGAAGACCTTGAAATATTTACTATTTGTCCCTTTCTAAAAACTTCTGATACCCCATTTGAATCTAAATTTGTTCCATTGCTTATAAAGAAAGCTGCTGAATTGTAATACTTGTCCATTACTTGTCAAGGCCTGCTTCCCCTCTGGCCACCTGTTAAACTTTTCCAAGGTGATGATGTCCACAGTATGGATATCCAAAATATGTCTCTTGAAGAAAATTTAAATTTGGATCTTGCTTTCTTTTTTAAAAATTATTCTACAGTATAATACATTTTTACATATTGTCACAAATTTAGTACAAATTCTCATTCCTCTAGCTATACGTGGTGCAGAGTCACTCCAGTAGGGTAATTATACATGTATATAAGGTAATAATGTCTGTCTTACTCTACCGTCCTTCCCATCCCCACAGCCCCACTCTTCCCCTGACTCCCCTCTGCACAAACCAAAGTTCCTTTATTTTTCCATATTCCCCTACCCCACTGTGATAAGCATCACTCTGATAAGCATCCACTTATCAGAGAAAACATTTGGCTTTTGGTTTTGGGGGGATTGGTTTATTTCACTTAGCATGATATTCTCTAGCTCCATCCATTGTGTATATGTACCCTGTTTTCTTTTAGATCTTGCTTTCTTATGCATTTCTGAAAGTCTCTGCCCTTTGATTGAAGTATTTAGTTTATTTATTATTAATGGAGCTATATATGTGGCTGCATTGCAAGTTTGAGGTCAAACCAGGCAATATAGTAAAATCCTGCCTCAAAATAAAAATAAAAAGGGCAGGGGATTGGGGCTGGGGTTATGGCTCAGCAGTTGAGTACTCACCTAGCATATGTGAGGTCCTGGCTTCAATCTTCAGCACCACATAAAAATTAACAAATCAATAAAATAAAGGTATTGTGTCTAACTACAACTGAAAAATATTTTTTTTAAAAAAAAAAGGGGCTGGAGATATTGCTCACTGGTAAAATGTCCCTGCATTCAATACCCACGCTACCACAAATAAATAATCAATTAAAATAAAATTCCTTTAAAAGCTTATCTCTGCTACTGTCCATGAAGATGGCTGTGAAGTTAGCATCAGACTGAATTATATTCAAGTCTCAAACAAGGTAAGTAAACCCTCAGAAGTTATTCATTTGAGAATTGACCAATTCTCAACTTAAATTTATGGAAACACTTTTGTGTAATCCATAAAAAGGAAACTTGACTACAGTCAAGCAATTCTGTAGAATTAGTTAAAGAATTGAGTTAAATCTCAGCCAAATTCAGCTTTTAGGTACACAAAGATATATAGCAGTGAGAATTATCACCCACCCATGGTCCTGTAGTTCTCTGACTTGTTCTTACTCACTGAATTCTAATGAAATGTCTGTGATACAACTGATTTAGGGAAAGACTGACACAAATGTTTGCTGATGTGCACTTTGTCCTATTTGCTTTATATAAAACAAACCAACCGTTGTAGTCACATCTCCCTTTATCTTGCCTCTTATATAGTGACTGGAGCATTGCCACAGAGCCTGTAAGTATATAACAAGCATTGATTGATATTAGCCACTTTAGCTTCATTGGACAAGTCAAAATTTTCAAAAGAATGATAAATGGATTGAGAAGATATGTAAAGAAGGCAAGGAATAAAGAGGGGAACTAATATTTATCAGGCCCTGGTTATGTGCCCAATAAGGTGCTAATGATATTAAAATTAGGATAAGATGCCAGTCACAGTGGCACATGCCTGTAATGCTGGCAACTTGGGATGCTGAGGTAGAAGGATAACAAGTTCAAGGCCAGTCTCAGCAACTTAGTACAACCCTGACTAAAATTTAAGAAGTAAAAAAAAAAAAAAAAAAAAATTGCTGGGGATGTAGCTCAGTGGTAAAGCACACCTGAGTTCAATCTCTAGTGCTCAAGGGAAAAAATAATAATACAAAACACGGGCCCTGCCTAGATCAGGAGACTGGGTGTATCAAATGGGCTAATGCACATACAAGTGCTTTGAAACCAGGTTAGACACTAAGTGCTTTGTTCTTGGTTGTGCAGTTGTGTGCTAGTCCCCAGAATCAGTCCAGGTGGATACAGTCTATGTTTATATATATCTCATTTTATAGACACTGGTTTTACCTAATTTTACTTTCCCAATACTCCTTTGAAATAGGTCATAATATTTCTACTTTGTAGGTAAGGAAACTAAGGGCTCAGAGAAGTTAAACAACTTTTTTCTTACAAGGTCGTTAATGCTAACAGAATCAAGAATCAAACAGCAGCCTCCCCATCAGACCACCCTAATTCCATGTCATGAAGGGACGTCAGTTGGTGAAGGACACAATTACTTTTAAATGATATCATGGTGATTGGCAGAAGCCTGTTGGCAGGCTGTTGTAATGGTCCCTGTGTGAGAAAAGGGTCATGGGGTAGTGCAGAGAAGAGGAGGGCCAACTGCGGTAAAATAGACTGCAACTTGGGGAGGTGAGGGAAGAGTCAGGAAGGATGTCAGGCCTGTAGGCTCAATTGTCTGGAAAGACAGCCATCCATCCCTCATGAGAAGTAGGTTGGTCAGGAGGTCATTCCTTCTGTTGAGGCCCAGCAGACCTGTCATTCATGGTGCTTAAATTTTTTCATCGCCAGAACCTATACTTCAGCAAGGCGGTGAATTTCAGTGACCAGTTTCTGAGCGGTGTCACTGAGGGTGGTAATGGGCTATACAGCAGCAGGACCAGCTTGGGTGAGTATTACTGTTCTGGTACTTTACAACTGACCAGAAATACACTGATTTAACAAGGATGGTAGAGACTTGCTTAAAATATACCAGCCCGATCACAAATCTTAGTATTATGTTTCAGCCTTTTTATGTCTCTAGCTCCTTTTGAAGTCAAGGCTGAGATTTATGAAATCCTTCATGGGGCTTGGAGAGGGATTCATTAGTGAGGGTGGGAAGGTAGGTCTTTTTTCAGCTTAAAAACTGAGATCGCATTTCCCTTCTCCCCACTTATCCTCTGCCTCCTGGACTGGGGAGTGACTCTAGCAGTCCTTCCTGTCAGGTTTAATCAAATGAAAATGTTTACAAAAGCCATATTATGCCTCTGACTTTTAATAGGCATAACTGTAGAACTAGCTTATTACATGTATGGAGTGGAGGAGGATCACTTTGTCCTTTGTCATTGCAGTGAGCGATTACAGCCAGAGTATCTTAGATACCAATGAAAAAATCAAGAGGATGAGGAATCTCCAGATCAAAAAATTTCACAAAAAGAAAGAGCACCTTACAGTACGTGTACTCCTTGGTTTTTGTGGCTATCTTCTTCAGCCTATCATTTTGATGTTTATTTTGGCATTTTAAAATGGAATACTTTCTCTCTTTTTTTTTTTTGTTCCTTCTTTTATAACAGCATATTTTTATTTTTCAGAGGGAGAATCCTTTACAAGACTGAATTAGAATTAAAGTTCTCATCAGTTTCCTGAATCATATCTTTTTCCTCTGGAGTCTGTTCTGTCTGCCCATCATTCTCTGTTTTGTATTTGTTTGGACTTAAATATGTGGTGCTCCTTGGTTTTCTGGTCATTTGACAAATGAAGAACTAGTTGGATTAGCACTGGTGCCTGGTGTGGGTGCCCAGCATGGGTGTGTAGGTCTGAAGTCCCTGTGTAGATAGGTGGTTATATTGTGGGACAGGCTTTCCTGCTAGTGTTGTGCAAGGGTCAGGAGAAAGCATTTGGGTCCCAAGCATTGTCAGTGCAGAAGGTCTTTCTTCTGGTAGCAAAGGTGTTGGTGGTGTGACATATTCTCCTATGTTTCAGTTCTGCAAGGAGCTGTCTTTCCCCCCTTGTCCTTCCCACCCTTCCCTGAATTTGTCATGGAGGTCTTGGGATCTGTAATTCTCCCTTCTTGGGCTCTAGTGCTCCCAGGAGATGACTTTGTTGGGCAAATCATGTACTTTCTAGAAAGTGGTTGTAAGGGTTTAACAGAATGCATGAGCTTTCTTTCTCCTTATGTGAGAGAGGAGGGAAAGGGCATCGTAGCTACTCATAGTGAGCCCTTTAGTAGTACACTCATGCATTTAACCTGCACCGAATACCTACCCTCCTTTGTGATTAACTTTGAATTTCTGCAGGATGCCCCTGGAGAGAAAACACTCAGGCTTCTGGTGTCTTCAGCTGGTTTTTCTTTGCTTTGATTTCTCTGCCAGTCAGATTTCATCTACTTTCAGTCTTAGAGTTCCTCAAAATTACTGAAACACTAAAATGATAGATTCCCTTTCAGAGTTTCCCACAGCTCATAGTGAGTTTTGCTTTTCAAAAAATATGCATCATGAATAATTCCAAAAGGGGTTTTGGAGAAAGGAATGGTGGATGCCCTTGCTCTCTCCCCCACCCTGCCTTTTGGTTGGTCCTCTTTGGCTTCAGCACAGAGAACAGCACTGATTAGCAGCAAGCCCCTGGAGATGGAGATGGACACAATGTGGTGCTTACCCTCCACCTCTGGTTCCACCAGTTTCTAGAGGCTTCCTCTGTTTTGCACGCCCCCGCCATCCAGCTTGCATCATGATTCCGCCAAAGGCAGGAGCTCTGTTCTTTATCTTTTTTTCCCCAGCATGTGCTTTGCGTGTAATCAATACTAATAAATTTGGGAAGAAGATGTTAGCATTTTTTTTAACTGTAATTGCTTATGATTCTTTGTGCTTTCCACCTCCTCCAGTTTGAAATATTGTAATGAGTATAAGAGAAGGTATAGAGCCCCATGAACTCAACAATTTGCATCTTTGGAGACTGTACCCTTTCTCTGCATGTGGTCTGAATCTCCCATTGTTATGCTCCTTTACTTTCTCATTTGCATTTATGAGCTAAATGTCAGCAGCACTGATATTTATCCACTAATTCATTCATTACTTTTGAGCCCACCTGTATCAGGCATGGTTCTAGGTGCTGAAAATAAAATGTGAACCCATGTTATAAAGATCTCAGACCTCATGAAGCAAACATTCTAGAGGATTCTAGTATATTTTTCTAAAAGAAGCCAAATTCAGTATAAACAAGAACACCTCCCAGAATCCTCCTGGAGTTTACTGATTAGATATGGTGCCTTGTTCCAAGATACCAGAGAGATGGGGTGGCCAAGGGGCAAGGAGGCGGTTGATACAGCCTGAACCCATCATCTTCTGAAAAGCTTAGAGGCCCAGGGAACCAGGGAGGAGCATGTTTTATTTCCATTTCACACATAGGCCAGTTGTGGTTCTGCTTGAAATTTATATATAAATATAAATTTCATAGCGTTTTGAAAATAGATAAATTCTTTTTTTAAATATTTTTTTTAGTTGTAGGTAGACACAATACCTTTATTTACTTATTTATTTTTTAAATGTGGTGCTGAGGACCAGTGCCTCACACGTGCGAGGTAAGCATTCTACTGAGCCACAACCCCAGCCCTAAAAAAACAAATTCTTAAAGATTTCTGACAATAAGCCAGATATGGTGATGCACACCTGTAAGCCCAGCAGCTTGGGAGGCAGAGGTAGGAGGATCTTGAGTTCAAAGCCAGCCTCAGCAACTTATCGAGGCCCTATGTACCTTGGCCAGTCCCTGTCTTAAAATAAAAAAATAAAAAGGAATAGGTATGTGGCTCAGTGGTTAAGCATCCCTTGAGTTTATTCTCTGGTACCAAAAAAAAAAAAAGCAGATTTCTGACAATAAATGACAGAGATTCGTTTTCTTAACAAGAGGTTGACTATGGATTCACTCATTTCTTAGGCAAGCATGGGTTCTGACATTGAACACTTTATAAAGCATGCCAAGTAAATTTTAGGTGTTCCCCTTGCTGCTTTTTCTAGAAATACACATAAGGGAACTATCCTGGAATTTCTGGAGTTTTGTGAGGTTTCCCACCACACTCCTACCCTTAAAAATATAAAACAATATTAGTGTAGTGACCTTGCCCAAGACAAGGTTTTGGAGACCAGCAAGATTAACATTAGACGTGTATGTTTGTGCTGTTGGCTTTTGAAGACCATATGTGCACACACACAAACACAGAAATATGCTCACACGTGTACTCTCATGGTCACACACCCCATCCATGTGGCTCAGAATTCAACTGAGAATGAGACACTATGCTTGGTGAGGAAGCATTTGCCTTGAGTGTTGGGCCTGGAAATCAACAGTGCAGCTATTTTGAGGCAGTGGAAATGACCATGTTCTATAATCCTGCAGCCTGAAAACAGACTCCTACTGGCAGAAGTTGGCCCGACAGGGGAAGGAAGAATCTCTGTGCTTGAACAGCTGCTGGAGGAAGTGAGTGTGACTAGAACAGGTCTCTCTGTGGATTTCAGCCTGCCCTTCCAACTGCTCCCTTTTAATTAAAAGTTGTTTGAAAATGCAATAATGGCTAGTCAAAAGCTTTGCATTTATTGTTACCTGTTGCTAATTTTTATAAAACAAACAAACAGATAAGCCCAAGTAACATGCATGAGACTAGACAGAATCCCTGGTCCATGATGTCATGTAACTTCAGCCTAGGTTTCCTAAAGAAACAAAATGGAGCTGGGGTATAGCTCAGTGATAGAAGTTACCTAGGACATACAAGGTCCTGGATTCAATCTCCAGACTGCCAAAAAGAAAGAAAAAGAAAAAGAAAGAAGAAACAATGTGGTTAGGGGACCTGCTCCTCCTGATGTGAGAGACAGACATGGTAACTCTGGGGGGACTTGGCAGCTGTGTCCATTATAGGCTGTCTTGATCCTTTCTTTGATCTAAAATTAACATAGTTCCATTATTGCTTTAATAGGACATTTGTTGAACTTGACAGAATGGCAGTTGGACAATGTGGAGGTTTTGTAATGAGTTTCTTCTTTTCTGTATGCTGCAGGGAGCAGACCCCAACTGCTGTGACAATGATGGTCGACCTGCTATTATCGTAGCTGTTGTGAATAAGCATCATGAAGCCATTCCAGTTCTTGCTCAGAGAGGAGCAGACATTGACCAGCCGTGGGGACCGTAAGTGTAACATTGAAAGTACAGCTGAGTGCTGAGGTGTCAGAGCTCATGGAGCTCTGCTATAGCAGAATTAGTTTACACACATGCCCTGTTCAATTTGAACCACTGAAAGGCAATTTAAATCTCTTTTGGTCTTAATAAAAGGGTTAACAGTTTTCTAAAGCTGAGTAAAACAAAATTTTTAAAATGATCTATTGGGTTAGCAAATTTAATGACTCTTATTAATGGTAATATATTTTGTTAATTCATGAATTTCTATTTTCGTGGGGCTAGCAAATCCTTAGCTCTTGGGTTGTTAAGCATTATTTTCATTATGAGCCACAGTGTTAAGATCAATACCAAGGGAAGAGAGGCTCCTGTATAGTCATGGGGAAACATACCCATGAAGTTAACACAGAACTGTTGTCTCTGGATGCTAACACCATGGGTGAGGGTCTAGCACTTCTCAACTCACCACATGATCTCCTGGAACCGTGGTTTCCCTACCTGTGAATCGGGATGGGGAGGTCCAAGTTGCATTACTTCCTGGTCTTGGTGCAGTACAACTTCATGACCTTCTCTCCCAGCCTCAGGATTTTGTTCTCTTGAAACTTGCTTTGGAACCATGGTTGGAAAGTTCCTGCAGTGTGGGTCATTCAGATTAACTCATCTCCTGGACAAGTTGTTAAAATAGAAGTCTTCTAGGGATATCACAGTTCTCTACTACTGCTGCCTCCTGATTCCTAAGCCAAGGTTAAGGTCTGGGTTAGTGAAACATCTTGCTGTGTAGGTCAGGCCACCAAAGGGGTCAAAAGTCTCATAGTTTTGCATTTATTACTATATTTAAAACTTTTTCTGGTATTTTATTCAAAATACATCCCTGTCCATTTTTCTGTGTGCATTTTTCTAAGTTTCTTCCAAATAGGACACAGCAGTATCAGTAGTTACTACCCCTTTAAAATTTTCATCTCATAGGAGAATATTGGTGTAAAACTTTGATAGCTGGAAGTTACTTTCTTGAGTTTCCTTAGGGTTTACATTCATCATACTCTGTCAGCTTCTTCATTCATCCCACATTATTGTATTATCATTGTTGATAATATAATAGTATTATTTTATCATTGATAAAATGAGGCTATCTTGTTTTATGTTAGGGTACCTTATATATTTATAAATTAAATGAGCTTTTCTTACAGCATTTAAGCATAATGCTTCATGTATGATACAAAAGTCAGTTCTTGATTGATGCTTTTGTGAGTCCCAGCTTTATGAACAATAAGAAGACAAAACTACTCTGAATCTGTATATGATTACCAGTTTTATTTTGGTCTTCCTCAGTTTCCACTTCATCACCATTCTGCAAAGTAACACTGATCCACATCTGATTTCGATGCATCTGGTGAATCTGACAATGGTTATGCCTATCCATCTGAATTATGTATAGTGTAGCCCTTCGTCACTCTGTGTTCGTTATCAAGGTTACCATGAGCACTGTGAGCTCATGTGGATAGAAGAGAAGAGAAAAGCGAGGGTGGAGGACTTTCCTCTAAAGAGAACACAGAGATTTTCCTTTTCAATGTATGCCAGTAGAGGAGAGTAGATTCCCTGTCTAAGAGCTAAATTCTGCTAAATAGGGTCCATGTCTGTTAGTTTGATGTGTTTATGCCTGCCCCAGCCTGGCCTCTGCGTCACACCTGGACCTCAGTAGCTCCAGGAGCCCCATCCCCAGATTCCATCCATTCCTCTTCTCTTACACATAAGCCATTCAAAGATCTGGCCTTCCTGCCCAAAAGGCTCAGTGAGTTGTTCCTTAACAAACAAGGATTAAAATGTTTTCTCACATCTGAAGCATGTTCGGCTAGTGGGACAAGTTGGTCTCTATACAAGATAGCTTCTATTAAGTAGCTTGGCAGGTGGCAGAAAGCCTCCCCATAGTGTTTCTGGGTCCCATGTTTGTATTATTCCTATGAGAATGAACCACAGTCAACTGAAAGGGAGTTAAGGAGAAATCCACACCCTCCACCAAGGAGGATGCCTCATATCACCAGACTCAGAAACACAGATTCAAGGTCTCATTGGGAAAGGGGCACAGGGAGGTGCAGCTGCTTTGGACTATAGCTGCCCTTCTTTGCCTGACTAGCAGTTGCAAACATTTAGTCTCCTGGCTCTACTCTAGTTGCCAGATAAGGAAGATGCAATCATCAGTCTACTTCTTTGAGTACAGCTGTGGAGATTTACAGGTTGAGCATCCACAATATGGAAATCTGAAACCCAAAATGCTCCAAGATCTGAAACGTTTAGAACCAACATGACACCACAGTGGAAAATTCCCCAGCTGACCTCATATGATCGGTCACTGTCCAAACACAGGTGCACTAAAAATATTGTATGAAATTACCTGCAGGCTATGTGTATGTGTATAAGAAATATATGAAACACAAATTAACTTTAGATGTGCTTAGACTTAGATCCTATTCCCATGATATCTCATTATGTATATGCAAATGTTCCCAAATCCAAAACAAACAAACAAAAAAACCTGAATGTTTCTTGCCTTCATTTCAGATAGGGGATACTTAATTTGTATTCTGTCCAGTAATTCAGGATTTACAGGGAGAAACTATACCGTAATACTTAGATATTAATACTTAGATAATACTTAATACCATGATACTTAGATTTGAATAAATAATGCATTAACGGTCAAGTTTCTTTAAAACGCAGACCCTTGGAACACTTCAGTGTACCCTCTGTACAAACTATGCTCTTGAAGGTCTGTTATATTATAATTCCAAGTTACTCAGAAGAATCAACTCAGATGGATGGGGTTCTGTAAGAAGGCATACACTATCTGGTGTCATATTGGAGTTCAGTTGTTTGAGGAACATTGTACAAACTTTGAGTTGTCAGAATCACAATGTAGTATTTCCCCAAACTGAACTATGGTTACACAGGAAATAGCCAGCACAGAAGATCTAGCCATCAGCAAATTCAGTTTGGGGAGAATCAGGAAGAAAGAAGACCATATGTCTACTCCGGAGATAGTGAACACCTTATAAAGACCCAAAAAACTTCAGATGTGAAGGGCTCACTTTATCTTCTACAGACAAGAGGCTGCCATACCTTTTTCTCCATTGGGAGAAACTTGTGGCTGCAGGTTTATTTGCAGGTGTGGGGACTGGGTGGTAGTGACAAGAGAAGCTGGGACTGAGAGAGCACAGACCTTCAATTGCTTACCTCATTTCTGTTTCCAGGCATGATTCCCACCTTCCCTCCCTTCTGCCACCTCTTGATCAGGAGCCTTTCAGGAGTTTATGTACCACTCCATCCTCCATTTTAGCAATCTACTTCTCCCTCACTAGGTCAAACCTGACCAGAAAAGGTGGCGAGACAATCTGGCACTGCAGCAGAATATGGTCTGTCTGATGTCTCTGGCTTGCCCATTAAATTCTAAGATTGGTGATTATTCTCATATCATGCAAGCCAAACTCAATGAAACCACAGCCATTTCCCCCACACAAAAATAGGAACTTCCTCCCTGAAAATTCAGTTACCAGGCAGACAGTACCTAAGAGGTTTAAGCCAAAATTGAGGCTATTTCCAAAACTCTTAAAGGAAATCTACTAAAATAGTATTTATTAGCATTTATTAAGTCAGCTACAAATCAGATCCTTGTGGGTTTCTCACATTAAAAATGAATGTGTTTCTAGACTTTTCACTATTTGTCTAGCATCAAAGCTTACTACCCATCACAGTGTTCCTCTAAGGGAAGAGACAAAGAGGGGAGACTCATGGGATTTTCCCAGGTTAGTTAAATGGATTGGTAAGTAAAACCAAGGTCCCTTTAATCACACTGACCTCTCCAATATCCTGATGATGCTAAGGATTTACCCAGGAATGTTTTTCTCCCACAAATAGGCTCAGAAATACAGCTCTTCATGAAGCAACTCTTCTTGGCCTCACAGGAAGGGAGAGCATCGTGACTTTACTAGGGTATGTTCTCTAACCTTTGGTGAATACTTCTGAGGGCCACAGTGATCTCTCTACTAACCTGTGATGATTTTAGAGGGACCCTAGTTCTTGAACTGCTATTGCTCTAAAGTGGGGAGGGTCACCATCTCACCATGTCCCCCAGGTCACTAAGAGCTTTTCAAAACACAATTAAAATGTTGTTCCCATTAAACATTTTGGTAAGACTTTGCTGCAAGGGGAACCAATGGCTAGACTTAGCAATTAAATATTTTGAAATCATACAGCCCCATAAAATGTTTTAGGGTATAGCCACCCCTAAGAGCTGAAGTCACACAGTGGCCTCTTGGGGACAGGTTTGGGAGGTAGGGCATGGAGGTGCTCAGTCTAAGCTCTGGGACAGGAAGAGTCAGGCCCTCAGGGTCATGAGCCTGAATCCTTCAAGGACCCTCTTTCTCCATATCTTTTGCAGATGCAATGCAAGCATCCAAAAGAAGAATGCAAGAGGCCAGACAGCATATGACCTGGCTCTGGAAATTGGGGATGACCCCATCACCTCACTCTTCAATGCTAAATTTAGCCAAGGGCTAGAGGACCAGCTCCCCCAACCTAGGAACCTCAGCCTGGAGGACTGTTAGACATAAGGCCTCGCTGAAAGAAACCATCCAGCTCTGGTTGTTCTTTGATTCTAAAATGTGTATTTGAGCTTGGGAATTGGGGTTGAGAGGATTCGTAAGGTGTGTGTGTCTGTGTGTCTTTGTGTGTGTGTTACTGGGAATTGGACCCAGGATCTTGTGCATGCTAAACAAGTATTTTACCACTGAACTACATCCCCACGCCTTTTTTAACATTTTATTTTGATACAGGGTCTTGCTAAATTGCTGAGGCTGGCCTTGAACTTGCAATCCTTTTGTCCCAGCCTTTCGAGTCACTGGGATTACAGGTGTATGCCACCACACCTGGCTTCTTTTTGTTTTTGTTTTTTAATTGTTGTAAACCACCAATACTATCTGGGTGATTCCCAGTGTACCTTAGATTGTGATGAACTTCATGTATGCTTTTTAATGATTTATTGCTAGGGTTTTGGGAATTTGGCTTTTAGTTTTTAATTTATTTTCAATACATAATAATTGTACATGGTTTAAAGCTAAAAAGCATAAAATTCTATGTAGTGAAGTCTCCCTACTGTCCCTGTCCCATAGCCACCACTCCCCTCCTCAGAGGCACCAATGACACCAGTGTCAGCTGTATCTTTCTAGCAGTAGTACAGGATTTAGATAGGCATGTGTGTATGATATACGTACATGTATACATGGAGTATACAAATAAACCATGTAGCACATATATTCCTTTCCCCCCTTTTTAAACATAAATAGTAACAAACTGCACAGTGTTCTGCACCTTATCCTTTAAAAAAAATATATGTCTTGTAGGTGGTTTCGAGTTAGAATGTAAAGTTGAATTTATTGAAATTTTTATGTTGAACTCATGGTTACTCCTATCATCAAGGTTTGTTGCTTGTTTGACAGATCAGCTTTAAATAAAATATTGGCAGGAATGTGTAATTGTGACTTGTGGACCCCCTGTTAATGTATGTAAGTAGGATATTTATTAATTTAGAATATTCCGCACAATAAATAATAAACATGGTGGTGGACAGTACTATTGTCGTGACTTGTGCTTTTTTTCCCTAGGTTGGGTGGCTGTATGTTGGAAGGATGGGAGGTTCAGAGTCACTGGGACACAAGCCCCTGTGAGGCTGGGTGGGAGCTGGCACTTGCTTCCTCCCAGGTCAGCCTCTGGGCATTCTGTGTAAGAGAAGCTGCTTGTATGGGTGTCCAGAAGGACCAAGGAGTGTGGGGGTGGCAACAGCAATTCTGGTAACTGGTAAAAGTGTGATAACATCCCTGGAGGTCATTGCATCCCAAGTCCCATCTCACTTGTGTATTAGAAGCACAGATAAGTCCATTGGAAACCTGCCTCTGTGATTGGTGAGTTTTCCATGTCTAATCCAGAAATAATCCTCCCCCTAACCTTTCTAACCTGTGCAGGGTTTCAGCCCTGAGTGAGCTGGCCAAGATGCCCAGTAGGATAAAGAACATTCATAGGGTCATTTATCTCTATCATCTCCAAGGCACCTCACCTCAAGAATTCACATCACTTGCTTCCATTCCAACTTCTTTTTCTTTATTTTAAATTGGTACATAATAGTTGTACATATTTGTGGGGTACAATGTGATGTTTTGATAAAGCAATGTTCTATAATGATGAAATCAGAGTAACATATCCATCACCTCAAACATTTATCATTTCTTTGTAGTAAGAACATTCAAAATCCTCTCTTCCAGCTATTTTGAAATAAGCAATTCATGATTGTTAACTCCAGTCACCAGGCTGAGATAGAACACCAGACTTATTTTTTCCCAACTTCTATTCTGAATGCTTTAGGACCTGGTTTTTGCTTTTTTTTTTTTTTTTCTTACCAAACAGAAAATTAAGAGAGTTTGAGTCTCACCCATCTTCCAGTATTTTAAATAAATTTGAGCATAGCTTCTTGGTGGTTTTCTTTCCTTCTTTTTAAATTTTTCCTAGTTATACATGGACACAATATCTTTATTTTGTTTATTTATTTTTACATGGTCCTGAGGATTGAACCCAGTGCTTCACATATGCAAGGCAAGCGCTCTGCCACTGAGCCACAACCCCAGCCCAGCTTCCGTGGTTTTCTAAATTTAGGCCCTGTAAGATCTACAACAGGTGAGGTGAAGTGACCCTCCTTTTTCAGGTAGATCCAAAAAAGAGAACTAAGGCCCACACTGGGGACACTCCAGTCCCTCCTTTTTTGGGGGGGGGGCGGTGTTGGGGATTGAACCCATGGCCTTGTGCATGTGAGACAAGTATTCTACCAACTGAGCTGTATCCCCAGCCCCAGTCCCTCCTTTTTGAGCTTCCAGCTACCTTGTGTCCTTCCATGCCCCTGTTGGGATGCTGGGATGCCACTGTCTTCATAACTCCTGGTAGTGCATCTGCTCAGGACCTTGTCTCCCTCACTTGGTCACATGGAAACTCCTTCCCCCTGTCCTTGGATCTCGGGTCCTTGTCCTTCCACGGGTGTTCCCTATGGTCCCCTTTGAGAAATCCAAATACCCTTCCCTTCTTGGCTGGTGACCCCTTGATCATTCAGGCCCATCCATGACTCCTGGCTCTTCTCTTGCTACTCCCATGTGACTGTCCCTGGGTCCAAAAAGCTTACCTGGGGATGTGCTCAGCACTGACCTTATGCTCACATGGTCTCTTCTTTACATTTATAGAAAATCCAACACATAAATACCTCCATTCCCATGGGGTAGGAGCCCCATGATAGTATCTGTGCCTTTATAAGAAGAGGAAGAGTGCCCCAAACTAGAATACTTGCTCTGTCTCCCCATGTGATATGTTCCACCATGTTATGGTGTAGCAAGAAGACCCTCTCCAGAGGTCAGTCCCGTGCTCTTAGACTTCTCAGCCTCCAGATTCATGAGCTAAATAAACCTCCATTATTTATAATTACCCAGTTTGAAGTATTTTGTTAAAGCAACAGAAAATGAATGAAGACAGTGAGTTTAAAACTATCGAGCACCTTTGTTCAATTTTGGAAAGAAGAATCTCCCATGATGAGGCCTACCTGGCCATGCTGTGCCACTGGGTGAGCTCTAATCCCGAGTCACTATAACTTGTTCTCTGTCTCAACTGGCAACACCAAATATGCCCAGGCCTCCTCCTTGAGACAGGTCTGCTCTCCCTTCTCCCTACCACATGCGTCCAATTGTCAGGCTCTGAGAGTCTTATCTCCTAGATTGTTCCTGGATGCTTTTCCTACTTTCTCCCTGAAACCACCAGCTTGGCCAAGATAATGTCTAACAGGTTTGATAAAATCACCACCCTACAATATGTCCACTCGTGGCCTTATTCTTTTGGAGCTGCCTATACAAAGGGGACTGTGACAGTGACCACCTAGAATGCTTCTATGGTTTTCCTCCATTTGTCAGGAAAAACAAGCTTCTCTAAGGGTCTGCAGAAGCTTCACTTTCAGGCTCCTCATCTTCCCAATGTTCCAGGATCTATCACCCTCAGTGACTCATACTCAGCAGGTGCTTAAGGAGAGCACCCGCTATGCAGAACCTTGAGTAGTGTATGTAACACATGGCTTTACCCAGATCTTATCACCCAGACCTAGTCACAAGCTAGTGAGAAAAGGAAAAGAAAGCCAGGTCTATGAGAAATTAAAGCTGTCATTCATTAACTCTTGAAATGTATGTTTATTCCCTAGTTTTCAGAAATACCCAGGCCTTGGAGAAGTCTGAGGTTGGTTAAGCTGGTGGCAACGTGGCAACAGCATATCATTCACAATGTGCAAAGAGCCATTTAAATGGGAACGGAGTGACTGGGGATGGAGGTCTTTCTGTGTCAGATTTACTATAAAGGTAAATAAGAAAAAAACACATAAAGTATTAAATCATTATATGTCCTCAAAATATTTATGTTAAGCATCAGATTTCTTTTGGAATGACTATGAGAGTTCCCAGTTTTCCTAGTGGTTGGCACAATTTTAAATTCTGGGTATACAGCTGCTATCCCTGTTTCGCATTTCTGTGCTCGTCTTTATTCTATACACATTCATTCACATGATTCACTTTTAAGAACAATACATTTTTATAGAAGACAATATGTCTTCTATAAAATTTTGAAGGCAGTGTGCCATATTAAATTGTTTTTTAAAATAGCTTTCTTGGGTGTCCTATAATGCATAATGAATGGAAAAGAGGAATGTTGACATTAGGCTACAGTGATGAAGGAAAGGAAAGGAAGGAAGGAGGTTGGTTATATCACTCTGATAAGTCTTTTCTTAGAAAACTATTCTAGTGAGATACCAAAGACGGCACTGGATATTGGATAGAAAACAGGGTTTAAGGGGCTGGGGTTGTGGCTCAGTGGTAGAGCACTTGCCTCTCACATGCAAGGCCCAGGGTTTGATCCTCAGCACCTCATAAGAATAAATAAATAAGTAAAATAAAATATAAAGTTAAAAGAAAACAGTGTTCAAAGACTGAGACCCTTTTTGCCATTTGTAACTAATACATTTTACTTTACTCCCTGTGGTTGGTTTCCAAAACAGCCACATGTTCCTCCTTAACCCTTAAAGTCACCTGTGCTTGAGTATCTTGGAATCAATCAACCATCTTATGTGGGAATATTCCTAGCGATCCCTGCCTTCCAAGTTCCATGTGAGTAGAATACCAGGAGCACAAGCACTCTAGCATGAAATGGATTTCTCTTGGGGAAGTGAGGCATCCTCTGTGATCTAGTAACAGTGGTGTCCCTAATTGGTGGCCAGGCCCCAGCATCAGGAGTCCTGGCTCTGGTGCCTTGAAGGTTAGTCTCTTTCTTGCTGGGGTGTATTCCACATGATTTTTCACTTGCCAACCACTTTCTTTTACAGGAAGTTCCATCAACTCACCTCAGTTGCTCTTTTCCCTTGTCTGTTCTTAAGTGCCTCTGATTCAGGTTTCTGCTTGTCCCTGGCCTACTACAAAGTTGAAAAGTCTGTTGGTTTCTCCTTAGCACCCCAGTTCTCCCAAAACATTCATAATAATTTCTCAAAGGTTTCTTTTACATGGGAAACATGGACAAAAATGACCTTTTCTTTGCTCATTCCTCCTGTGTCATTTGATCCTAAGATGATACACAAAAGCCTACAGATACTTTCATGCTTTAGGTGTACAAAGAATGAGTGATCTTCTACCTTCCCAGTGAAGAATCCAGCTCCAGAAACTGCAGGTTGTTTGTATGTGTGTGTGTGTTGGGGGGTGTGGGTGTGATTAGCATGGGTGATTATCCACAGCTTTTACGTCTGTACTCGTATTCTTCCTTTTCCATGCAAGACAGACTATGTTTGCCTATCTCCCTGCCCATAGGAAGGTAGGGCCTTTTCTGTCCTTTTCAGACAAAGCTGGTGTCTCTATTGCAAATGTCTTGGGTTCTATGTTTCTTATTGAATTTCATTCTATTAGACAAAACCACATCCACAAAGATCTTCAAGAAAAGCCTCTCTCTAGTTTGGTTGTCAGGGTGCTCTGGAATAGTACCCTTAACATTCACAGAAACCATTTTTGTAGAGTCTCAGAGCCATACAGTTAAATCTTTCTGAAATCTTAAAAACACACACAAAAAAGATGGTCTAACAGCTTCACCCTTGAGATGATCTTTAAAGACCATTTTGAGCAAAACCACTTTGGTCTGTGACACAGTTGAGAAGGTGTGGTTAACATTCTTTAAATGTGGTTAAATTTCTTTAGGCCAGCAATTGGAGAACTACCAAAGGAATTGTGGACAGGGGGCCTTAGGCCAATTAACTTGGTGGTTGGCACAGGCTCTAGGTCCTGGGATGGAATGCTGAGGAGCATGATTAAAAGTCCTATACTCTGGTATTACAGGATGATAATCCTTATTATTGGAAGCTGAGAAAGACACATGATTAAAGTATTGGAGTGCCAATGAGGTAGTACAACTGAGGTGCCTGGGCACTATCCATGTTCTTGGTGGTCTAATATAGGTGTATCTAAGACCCAAAGCTCTGAGACTAAAGAACTAGCCCTGAGAATAGAGTGCTAAGGACAGTGTATTGGTAGGAAGGTCCTAAAGGACCAGGGACCAAACCTAAGGAAAGCAACAAAGGGACTTAGTAGATGATTCAGAAAAGGCAAAACATAGATGTTCAAGAGATAAGGCAAAAAGCAAGAAAGGGGCTGGGCATGGTGACCTGTAATTCCAGCCACTCAGGAGGCTGAGGCAGGAGGTCTACAAATTTGAGGCCAGCCTTAGCAACTTAGCAAGACCCTAAAAAAAAAACCTTGGAGGCCAGGTAACTCATGGTAAAGCACCCCTGGATTCAATCCCTAATATAAATAATAAATAAAAGGAGCTGTTAAAAGCCAGGGGAAGAGGGTAGCTGCAGATAAAACTGGGAGATTCCCTCTTCTCACCTAAATTCCCTACGTACACTTCTTTTTATTTAAATTTATTTTTAGTTATACACGGACACAATATCTTTATTTTTTTAATGTGGTACTGAAGATCGAACCCAGTGCCTCACATGTGTAAGGCAAGTACTCTGCCACTGATCCACAATCCCAGCCCCTACATACACTTCTTAAGATTCTCCTCACACACAGTCACTGAGTGACTCAGTCCTTATGTCTGCTAAGGGGTTGAATTCTTACGTAATTGTGGATTTAAGACTTCAAGGTATCTGTATCAGTCCATTTTTTTTAAAAAATATTTTTTAGTTGTAAATGGATTTTTTATTTTACTTCTTTATTTTTATGTGGTGTGAGGATCAAACCCGGGGCCTCACATATGCCAGGCAAATGCTCTACTATTGAGCCACACCTCCAGCCCTTCATTCCTTATTTCTTATAAGATGTGAGAATTAGGCACACAGCTAAAGTTCCAGATTTATAAAGAAGCAAAGTTTATTAGAACAAAAGGCCACAAAACATGGAGATTTACTGGGGAGAAAGTACACTAAATTAATGTCCTCTGGTCACTTATGGAATGCATTTTCCGACTCCATTACATGGAAGTGTAAAGATTTTGACCATTAGTCTCTCCACCATCTTCACTTTCAAAGGGAATACAAGGGATCAGATTGCCCCAAGCGGGGCTCGGAGGTGGGCTGGAGTGTCGGTTTGTGGTGGATGCACTTCCTGTGTCTCTTGAGATGAGATTTCTGCCTGAAGCCTTGCCCGCAGGCCTTGCACATATAAGGTTTCTCCCCCTTGTGTGCCATCTGATGGGATATGAGGTGTGACTTCAGGATAAAGCCTTGGCCGCACTCTCGGCACACAGAAGCCTTCTCTTCTGAGTGTACCTGCTTATGTGTGATCAAGGCCGACTTATTGCTGAAACCTAGTCCACACTGCCTGCACATGTAAGGCTTCTCCCTCGAGTGCTTCCTCCTGTGCCTAATAAGCCCTGCCTGGTGACTGAAGCCTCGCCCGCACTCCCGGCACACATACGGCCTTTCCCCTGAGTGTGTCCTTTGGTGTGCAACGAGATTGGACTTCTGGCTGAAGCCTCGCCCACACTCCTCACATACCATGGGCTTTTCCCCTGAGTGTGTCCTCTGGTGTCTGATGAGATTTGATTGCTGGCTGAAACCTCGACCACAATCCTTGCACACGATTGGCTTCTCCCCTGAGTGAATGTTCTGGTGTCTGTTGAGGTGTGACTTCAGACTGAAGCCTCGCCCACACACCCCACACACATACGGCTTCTCCCCCGTGTGCGTCCTCCTGTGAGAGATGAGGGTGGAGTTCTGGCTAAAGCTGTGCCCACACACCCCACACACGTAAGGCTTCTCCTTTGAGTGTGTCCTCTGGTGGTTGACAAGGGTGGTCCTCTGCCTGAAGCATCGCCCACACTCCTTACAGGCATAAGGCTTCTCCCCCGAGTGTGTCCGCTGGTGGGAGATGAGGTTTGACCTATCACTGAAGCCAAGGCCACAGTCACTGCACACGATAGTCTTCTCCTCTAGGTGCGTCCTCTGATGTCTAACGACAGCTGACTTTTGGCTAAAGCCTTTGCCACACTCCCGGCACACATAAGGCTTCTCCCCTGAGTGTGTCCTCTGGTGTATGATGAGGTTTGACTTCTGACTAAAGCCTCGCCCACACTCACTGCACATATAAGGCTTCTCACCCGAGTGTGTCCTCTCATGAATGATGAGGGTTGACTTCCGGTTGAAACCACGTCCACACTCCCTGCACACGATGGGTTTCTCTCCAGAGTGTGCCTTCTGGTGTCTGGCAAGGCTTTTCTTTAGACTGAAGCCTTTTTCACACACGCCACACACATAAGGCTTCTCCCCTGAGTGTATCCTCTGGTGACTAAGGAGGTTTGTCATCTTGCTGAAGCCCAGTCCACACTCTCCACAGTTGATGGTTCCAAATCCAAGAACTTCTATCCTCTTCAGCAATTTGTCTGTTTCCTCAGGGTTCCCTGTCTGAGCTGGGCTGGCCTCCATTTCTACCCCTCTCATGCCATTCTGAGAGCTGACTGGCTGCTTTTGGGGTGGCTTGGAAAAAGCTCCCAAAGACCTTTTTTTTATCCTACCAAACAAAGGCTTGGTCCCTCCTCTCTCCTGGCCTTCTGCCTGATCACTCCAGGAGCTTCCATCAGAGGCTTGCTGCTGCTGCGTCTGGTCCTCCAGGCATGGATCCCCAGGCTCAGCATGACTTTCTGCACACAAGCACGTGAAGATCCAGGGGGGATGATTACACAGCACCTGCTGCACAGGGAATTTCTGACTGGAGAAATCCGGAGGGCACAACGGACCGGGCTGGAGTTCTGGCTTTGCTTCTGCTGCAAAGAAAAAAAACTGAGTCAGAATGGAGTCCTCAGAGGGACAGCCCAAACAATCTGTCTTATCTGATGGTGAGTCTTGATCCCATTCTTCAAAATGCTTCAACTGAAGTGCTACCCGACCAAGACTTCTTTAATCCGACCTACTTTCCAGACCATACACCACACATCTTCTACTATAATCCAAAAACCACTACAGAAGCGAGGCTATAAAAGCATCACAGGCAGTTCAGGTATGTAAATAGGGCCACAAGCCACAGCCTCCACATAATTACCTTTGAGCTCACAATCACACACTGATAGGAACCCTGTCTGTAAGTTTTTTGGTTTTTGTTGGTTTTGACTGACAGCTATAACTGTAAGACCCATGAAATGTCTTTCCCCATTTCCCTGGGATGACAAATGGACAAAAAGAGCAGTCATTCAGACTGGCCAGAGGACCCTAGACTAGAAAGTAACATAAAGAGACAGTGTGTGAAATACTCTGAAGATCACCATCCACTGACAAATGTGTAGAGAAGAGTACTTTGTGTCAAAATTTCTACAAGGCAGTAGGCCCTCAGCATAGAACAACACAAATGTAGTCAGACAACACAAACTAACTTTTGTGTTAGTTAGATGCTCTCTCCTTGTGCCCTTGACCAATCCCTAAGAACTGTTAATTTCCATAATTAATGTAAATTTCTCCTAGTAATCAGTGTAAAGGAAAATTTTCCAGGCTAAGGACATAGATCATGGTAGAACACTCACCTAGCATGTATGAGGCCCTGGGTTCAACTCCCAGCACAAAGGAAAAAAAGAAAGAAAAAAATTCCTACATAGTACTTCTTGTGTAGGAAATGTTAACATTAAATATATTGTTTCATTGCTGTTGGACCTAGTCAGCTAAAACAATCAATAACCAAGCAATCTGAGAGGGATAGATCTTAAGTCTACCTAAACATTATTTTGTGAGCAGTAATGAAACTTATTAGAAATGTGTACCCATCTAGATTCCAGAATGATTCTCTTTACTGAATGTTATTTTGCTCTAACTGAATTATTATAATTAGCATAATAATTAATTGATTATAATTAGTATAATTACCCTTTCCTAACACTTAACTCTTTCCACTAAGAAAAGTATGAAACGAACACCTTCCTTTAGTGTTTCAGTGCCTCACAAGTAAATAGCTCACCTTCTTTCCTTTCAGTAGCTCAAATGGCCTTTACTTCAGACTTGGATGAAAGAATGAATGAGAAACCAATGATCTGGCCTGATGCCTATCTCCCCCCAGTCTTACTGCTGTCATGCACAGTATCTAGAATTGGTTTCCCAGTGGTCCCTTCAAGACTGTTCTCAGGAGTGACTGAACCCTGACTGCTTTCATTGAGTTCTCACTGTTTATTTTGCTTAATCTAGCTTGTCTGAAGTTTCACAGCTCATAACTGGTTTCATATTTCTATTTCTGGCCAGCAACTCCTCGAGAGTATGGTAACTCTGGAGTGGGTGGAGTTTTTAGATTTGATTTGTTGGCTCTTTTTCCTCTTGAATAAGACAGAAGGAAAGCCCACTGCTGCTATCTCCTAGGTCAACATTCATACACATTAAATCACAGGGACATGGTAAGCAGATCTTTCGGCAGTAGAAGGAACTCCTGTGTCTGTTCTGGATAAGTTGGGTGACTGTGATTTTGATACAGAAAATATCCCTACCCATCCTAATGGGGACCAAAGTCTCTGATATGTATACTAACTTCTGTGGCTACACATAAAATGGCAGGCTTTTTATTATTATTTTTTTGGGGGGGTACCAGGGATTGAACTCAGGGGTACTTGACCACTGAGCCACATCCACAGCCCTATTTTGAATTTTATTTAGAGAAAGGGTCTCACTGAGTTGCTTAGTGCCTCGAAGTTACTGAGGCTGGCTTTGAACTCGAGATTCTCCTGTCTCAGCCTCTCAAGCCACTGGGATTACAGGCTTGTGCCATTATGCCCAGCAAATGGCAGGCTTTTATTTCCACAAAACATAATTTGGAATTACAGTGGCCTCTTAAGAAAAATATTAATTTTTAACATGGTTTTAACCTCTATATGGAATAATAGAAGAAGCAGGAAAAATGAAATTTCAATTCTCCATTGGTCAACCTTTTCAGTTGGTTGTAAAATTGGCCATTATGTGTGCACTTTAGGAATATTTAGTCTGAGAAAGATTGAACACAAATACTATCAAATCAATTAATCCATTTATAAAATATTGTAAATCTATAGGTGTTCCTGTACTGATAGATTTATAGAGACTAGTGAGTACTGATACAATTGTAAATTTTTAAAAACCAGGAATATCCATAAAAAAGGAGGGCTGGGAATGTAGCTCAGTGTTAGAGGACATGCTTAGAATGCACAAAGTCCTGGGTTCAATCCACATTGCCAAAATAAATAAGTGAACTCCTAATGATTTTGATGGTTTGGTTTCTGAAGGGAATTTTCTTGATGCAGCTGGACAGCTAGTTCTAAATAAAAAAGTTGCCGGGCTCATTGGCAACACCAGTAATCCTAGCTTAGGCTGAGGCAAGACCACAAGTTTGAGACCAGCCTTGGCAATTTAGTAAGAATGCTGTCTCAAAATAAAAAATAAAAAAATAAAATGTCTGCACATGTAGCTCAGTGGTAAAGGGTCCCTGGGTTCAATCCCCAGTACCTCAAAACAAAAAAAAGAAAAAGAAAAATATTTAACTTTAGTTAAGTTAGGAATCATGATTATCAGGTTACACTGAAAGAATGAGAGACACTCGGGGCTTAAAAAGAACTTTAATAGCTGGCATATAACTATAAAAGGGGAATTAATATTTCAAAAGTTCAGTAAAGTCTTGAAATTAGACAGGTGAAGTGTCTCTTTCCTGACTTCATTACAGTGTAAATACAGCATTAATATAACATTTTATTGATTAAAAACACTTGCTTCGATTTCTTAAAGTTAGTTTAATTAAATTTCTAAGACTCTACTGATTGAAGAAATCATAAGCTAAAATTACACTCAGAAATGTTTAATGTTAGGAGAATGTAGACACACATGTCCAAAGAATGTAATTTGCAAGCAGTGCCAGAATTTTTGGAAATTTATGGTTCCTCTACTCAAAGTAGACTCCTGAAATAGAATATTTTCCAAGCAATTTTAACATCAATACTGATCATGTTCCTCTTCAATTTCTAAGATCTCTTGTTAGATAATGAAAATTAATATTTTTGTTTAAAAAACTAATAAAAATAAATATATTTACTATGGACATGTTTTGAAATGTGAATACATTGTAAAATGGATAACTCAAACTAATATGTATTACCTCCTGTAACTATCATTTTGTGATAAGGACATCTCATATCGACTCTCTTAGTGATTTTCAAGAATTCAATACATTGTTAAAAACTATGGTCACCATGTATACAATATATCCCTTGAATTTATTCCTATCTGAAATGTTTTATCCTTTGACCAACATCTCCCCAACTACTTCTCACTCACCTCCAACCCCTAATAACCACCATTCTACTCTGCTTCTGTAAGTTTGACATTTTTAGATCCACATAGAAGTGTGGCATCTGTCTTTCTGTGTGTGGCCTAGTTACTTAACATAATATCCTCCAGTTCATCCATGTTTTTGCAAATAAATCTGTTATGCTTATTTAACATTCTGATCAATGAAGTAGAGATGACTCCGCTTTTGTATACCTACTCAACTTGTTTTAAGAACTCTGATATTGCCTTTCCTCAAACCAAGTATTAAATATGTAATGATAAAACTGTTACAATGTATTTTACACCTAAAATAAGAAGTCTTTTCATCCATACACCTATATTTTGGGTTTCTAAGATAACTGCATGGGCAATCACAAAGATTTGTTTCTTAGATTTGTACACCATTCTTATGACTTTAATCTTACAAATCTGTTGTAAGAACTGCAATTTTTCTTTAAAAGATCTTTTAAAAAGATATCAGAAAGATAAGTTAAACTTTAAGCCAATTATAGATATAGGTAAAGTGCTAATTATTAATATAATTATGCTTTCAGATTAAGAAAAAAAACATACAAACGTACAAAGGCCAGGGTATATGGCATTCACTCATTCTAGAATGCACACTCAGAACAGATAAAGTCCCTACCTTCTATTGCTTTCTGTCCCACATTCCTTCCATATCCTTGGCTAGACCTACTACCTCTTCCCTCAAGCAGATGGACAATTTTTTCAAGCATTAGAGTTGAGTCAATGTCCTTGTTTCAATTCGACTTCCACAACTTTGCCTACCATGCATCTACCATCCACATGCCTCCTGATTTCACACCTTTCACTGCAGACTTGGTAACCTTCTCACATCCTCTCCATCCTCATATTCTAAACCCCAAAGTGACTGTATTTGGAGAGTAGGCCTTGAAAGAAGTAATTAATGTTAAATGGGTCATAAGGGTGGATCTTAAACCAAAAGGATTGGTGTGCTTATAGAAAAACAAAAGAGACAACAAGAGTGTATGAGCATAGAAAAAAGACAAGCAAGAAAATGGCCATCTGTAAGGCCCAAAGCAACCAAACCAACTGACACTTTGATCTTACACTTCCAGCCTCCCAAACTATGAGAAAATTAATTTCTGGGCTGAACTAACACAGATGCCCTCATTTCCTCCTTTCCTACCCAGGTAGTAAAACACCTATTCATCTGCCTCACAGCCCCTAAGTGTCATGAAACTTACCAGTTGTTATAGTAAGTATGAAAGGATTAAAGTCCCTATTAAAAGACTACACCACTTGGTTTGACATAAAATGCAATACTAGTGACATGCAGATGCTTAAAAGCAAAACACCCAGATCACATGATTGTCATGTAAAAACAAAAAGCTGAATAAAGAAATACCATACCAAAAATATACATAAGAAAGTAAGGTGTTAAGACAATAAGAAATAAAAAGGAAGTTATGAAACAAAGAGAACATTAATGTTACATACTTCATTAAAAAATGAGAGAAAATTTTTGTCATAAGCCTTTACACATATAATAAATACAAAGCAGTGAAATAAAGAGCAACTGAGAAATAAGTGAAGAATTTGATATTAATTGCAATAACCATGATGAGCTTTATGACACCCGCAAGCAGTTGAAAATCATAAACAAAACTTGAAAAATAGCAATAGTTTCTATTAAATATATTATACTTCCTTAATTTTAAGACAGAATTAATTGTAAGGCTGTATATTAAATTTAATAAAACTGAGAGGAAAAATTTCTTGCCCAAAAAAATATACCTTAAAAAAAATATACCTTTTGTTCCTTCCCCATTTTCTCCCCTCATTACGTGTACTTATTTTATGAACGGGAAGCACAATATTAACAAAGGAATTTAAAAAATTAAAACACTTATACACACATTAAAGTTACCTATACCTTTATAATTTAAAATAATGCAAATAAGAAAAAAATTCTCAGCAACTTCTTGCTCCACCCTCTAGGATTCTACCACCATACAGGCAACTACTAGTAATGGTAAATAACAACAGATTTCTGTGCTCACAAAAACATATACTTTTTTAAAAACTTCACTTTTACTAACAAAAGACTGAAATGAATAAAATACATTATGCAAATTTTTCATTTAATAATATAATCATTTAGTATCAACCATTTTTCAAAAGAGGTAAAGAAAAACTTGCTTATAATTAATGAACAGAAAATGAAAAAAATCACAAAAATAGAAAATTATAAAACTAAATGAAAATTACAGAACTGAAAAACATCTTAAAAATATTACTGGTGAGAGTCAGTAGAGATGGCAGATGAAACAGTAAACTTGGAGAGAGAGCAATAGAAATTATCCAATCTGAAGAATAAAGAGTAAAAAAGTTCTAAAAATTTGTAATTTTTGATCCAAAAGGGACGAGTAAGAATATGGCAGAGAAAAACATATGAAGAAATAATATCCTAAACGTAATCACAACATAGTCAAACTGTTGAATGCCAGAAATATACAGAACACATTGAAAGTAGTCAGAGGACACAAAGAAATTATATTCAGGGTAAATAATGATGCAAATGACAGCAGACTTTTTTACTCATTATAATGGTGGGCAAAATAGTATCTTGTCCAACATTGGTGGACCTTCATTTTATTCATTTCTTTATATGTAGTGCTGAGAATTTAACCCAGTGCCTCACACATGCTAGGCAAGTACTCTACCACTAAGCCACAACTCTAGCACTCAAATAGTATCTTTTAAGTGCTAAAAAAATAACTAAATAACTGTTATGGTTTGGATGTGAGGTGTCTCCCAAAAGCTCATGTGTGAGATAATGCAAGAGACTTTAGAGGAAAAATGATTTGATTGGGTTATGAGAGTCTTAACCCAATCAGTGAATTGATCCCCCAATGGCATTAATTGAGTAGAAACTGAAGGCAGGTACGATGTGGGTGGAGGAGATAGGTCATTGGGGGTGTGCCTTTGGAGGATATGTTTTGTATCTGGTAAATGGAGTCTCTTTCTCTCTCTCTGCTTTCTGATCATCAATATGAGCCGCTTTCCTCAGCCACACTTTTCTGCCATGATATTCTGCCTCACCTCGAGCCCTAAGGAATGGAGCCAGTCTTCTATACCTCAGACCTCTAAAACTGTGAGATCCTAAATAAACTTTTCCTCCCCTAGAATTGTTGTCAGGTCTTTTTAGTCACAGCAGTGAAAAAGCTGACTAAAACAATAACAATTTAGAATCTATATCCAGTAAAAATGTCCTTCAATAGTGAAAATGAAATAAAGACACTTTTGGCAAAATCAAATATGAGACAATATAATGCCCCCTACACCACAAAAAATGCTAATGGACTGTTTACGGCTAAAGGATAACATTAGGGGAAACTCAAATTTTAAAATAATAATAATAAAACAGAAGAGAACAGAAAATGTTAAGTTATACTGAATAAGTATAAAAGACGTTATTTCTCTTAGTTAAAAAATAAGTATATAAGTGCTTAAAATAAATATTTTAACAGTATAATAGGGAGTATGTAATATGAATGGTAAGTTGGGAGGAGGGGTAACTATCTGTGAATTGCATTGCTCTTAAATTTTATATGAAGTGTTAATTCAGATTAAGTAGAATATAAAAAGTTAAGATTGTATATTATACTCTCTTAGAGCAGGAATCAGCCAACTTTTTCTTAAAGTAAATAATAGGGCTAGGAATATGGCTCAATAGTAGAACACTTGCCTAGCATGCATGAGGCCCTGGGTTCAATCCCCAGTGTACCCCCCAAAATAAGAAAGTAATAGTTTAGCTGGGCGTGTAGGCCCATGCCTGTAATCCTAACACCTCAGGAGGCTAAGGCAGATGGCAAATTCAAAGTCAGTCACAGTGATTTAACAAGACCCCCATCTCAAAATAAAAAGGGCTGGTGATGTAGCTCAATGTTAAAGTGCCTCTGGGTTAAATCCCAAATATGAAAATTAAAAAAAAAAAATTTTAAACCTTTCTTAGCTCTTTTTTTTTTTTTTTTTTTTTTAAGAATTCCATTTCAATTTCTCAACTGGCTTTTTATTAGCTTTCCTTTCTTCTATTGGGCTTTGCCATCTTTCTCTAGGTCTATTTTTGCTACATTCTTGAGGAGAAGACAAACTCAGTGAAAGGACAAAAGGGTCCCAGGGGAGGAAGGAGAAAAGAGACACCAGGAAAGCTCCAATTAGAATGAAAATGGAGGTCTGAAGGGAGGCTGTACCTGGCAATCTGAAAGGCAGTCCACGAAGTCAAGAGAAGAAATTCCCTTCCCAACACCTTATCAATGTCTCCTCTCTCCCAACCCTGCCCTCTGACAGTTCTGTGTCCCATTTCCCCAGTGTTCTCCCACTTACCTGGACAGGTAGACAATAGACATTTTCTTTCTTCCCTCCATGTTTCTTTCCCTTGCTCAAGCTGGGTGATGAGTTTTGGTTTAGAAAATGGAATTCCTGCTCTCAGGAAAAGAAAAAACATGGTTGTTGGATGGAGTCAAGGGTCCATTCAAGAACTGAGTCAAATGGCAGTCATCAAGAATATAAACAATAATAAATGCTGGAAAGGATGCAGAGAAAAAGAAACACTTTTACACTATTTGTAGGAAATTAATATGAAGGTCCCTCAAAACTCTAGGCGTGGAATCACCATGACCCAACTATACCACTTCTCAGTATTTATCCTAAAGAATGAAAGCATTCTAGAATGATATATGCATGCTCGTGTTTACAGTAGTACAATTCACAAGAGCCAAACTATAGAACTAGTTTAGGTGTCCACCAATGGATGAATGGATAAAGAAAATGTGGAATATGTGTGATGGATGACAAAAAAGAGGCCTGAATGTAAAATAAATTATAAGAACACTAGCAATGGCTGGTTGCGATGCATATCTACAATCCCAGGATCATGAGTTCAAAGCCAGCCTCAGCAACTTAAAGAGGCCCTAAGCAACTCACTTCTTGTCTCTCAATAAAATATAAAAATGGGCTGGGGATTTGGCTTAGTGGTAAAGAGACCTTGGGTTCAATCTGTGGTACAAAGAACAAAACACACACACACACACACACAAATAATAAACTAGTACCTAGGAAAGGAAGAATTACCCTCCCCTTTTAGTCAGCTCTTCAGGAAACCTGAACCTAATTAACACTGTAGACCCCTACCTTTTAATTGTAAACTACAACCTCTAGGAATCTAACTGCACCTCTGGAGAAAGGAAGACTCTGCTTCTATAAACAAGTTCCCCTGCTAGAAATCCAGCCCATTCTGTCTTCTATTGTATAGACTAGAAATTATTTTATGGCAACCGATAACCTATAAATGTTGTGAGAAACTAGAGATGGGGGCTCAGAATTTGGAGTCTGATCTCCTCTAGGCCCATTGGTGTAAAACAAAGTTTGAGTTCTCCCACCTTCCAGGAGTTTTATTCAGCCATAAAGAAAAATAAAATTATGTCATTTGCATGAAAATAGAGACCATTATTTTAAGCGGAAATAAGTCAAGTTCAGAAGGTCAAGGGTCAAATGTTTTCTCTCATATGTAGAAGCTAGAGAGGAAAAAGGAAAAAAAAAAGTGGGGTGGGGAGGGGGAATTTCATGAAAATCAAAGGGAGATCAGTAGAATTAGTAAAAGAGACCAGGGGGTAGGAGAAGAGAAGTTCTGGGGAGTGATCTTGGCCAAATTATATTGTTATATTGCTTGTATAACAAAAAATCCTACCATTATATACAACTATGCACCAACATAAAATGTGGGGGGAAAAAAAGAATTCATAGTCAAACTGGGTGAGGACCTTCAAAGTGTAGTACAAAAACCTGAAAATAGTGGGGAAGATTAACTCAGATGAGAGCACAATGATTCTATTCAATGCCAGATGGATAAATGCCTATAAAAAAAAATAATAAGTTAACTTAAAAAAGAGAGCCCAGCCTAGAGGAAAAGGTCTAGAAATGCAGAGTATTACAACACACAGACACACACACACACACACACACACACACACACACACACAAACTATTCATTTCCAATTCTACAAAATGAAACCTTTCCTTTCTAGGTCCTACCCCAAAGGCCAAGTCAGAAAGCAAGATGGCTACTTCAAGCTTAGCCCAAACTTCCCAGCAGTAAGAATGTAAGTTCTAAGAGATACCACACTTACCCAGAGAGACCAAGTTGCTATAGTTCTCCAGCATCACCTCCTTGTACAGAGACCTCTGAGCAGGGCTCAGCAGGCTCCACTCCTCCTGGGAGAAATCCACAGCCACATCCCTGAATGCCATATGTGCCTGTAACACAAAATAGAGCCTGCTCTCCTGCTTGCTCATGGCTCAGGGTGAGAGCCAGGGAGAAGGCTACTCTGGGGAGGCAATGAAATATACAGATCCTGCTTTTGACTGCTGCCATGTGTTCCAAGACATTTAAATCCCATGTCTTTTCAGCCAGCAGCATTTGTGAGCCTACATACTCAAGGTCCTCAGTGGACTATCTGGGGTATACATGTGAAAAGAAGAGTCCCTAAGTTGGGAAACTTTAGAACTAGTCAAAAGAACAAATGATATTAAATAACAATAAAGCATAACAGACTTTTTGAGTTTTAAGAATTTAAAAGAGGGGCTGGGGATGTGGCTCGCCTGGCATGCACAGGGCACTGGGTTCGATCCTCAGTTCCACCTAAAATAAAAATAAAAGATGTTGTGTCCATTGAAAACTGAAAAATAAAATTTAAAAAAAAAAAAGAATTTAAAAGATCAGGGCCTAGCTCAGTGGTAGAGTGCTCACCTAATATGAGCAAAGCCCTGGGTTTGATCTCCAGTACCACAAAAGAAAAGGAAAAAAAAAAAGAATTTAGAAGATCAAATAGGTATCATATTAGCATTAACATAGCTGTGTGATTAAAGTTCATACAGTTCCACACTGGCAAAGACTAATCTAAAATTCAGTTTTTCCCCAAATCCCACAGATCTCAGCTTTTCTAGCCTGAAGCACAAGTGGGGAGTGGTGAAGTATTTGAACCAAAGTGTTTGGGTTTGAGGCCCACCTCTGCCACTAATGTCTCAGATTTCTCAACTGTGAAACAAGAATAACAATACATTAAACTTCTCAGGCTGAGGATGTAGCTCAGTGACAGAGTACTTACCTAGCATGCGTGAGGTCCTGGATTCAATCCCCCGTCACCAAAAAAAAAAAAAAAGAAAAGAAAAGAAAAAAAAATTTCCTCCTCACACTAGATACTAACAGTGGAACTTCTTGACCATTCAATTAAAAAACTAATCTCCCCATCCTGTTCTAATCCCCCTGCTTAGTTTTATTCTTTTTATCTCCTTAGTACTATTTCAAAATGGAAGACACATTGGGATGAAGTTTCCTAATACTGGGCCTGGAACTGGTCTTTAAATGGATTCACAATATTGCACGACCATCATTGCTATCCATCTAGAGAACATTTTCAGCGCCTTCCATAACTCAAACTCTTTAATCAATGAACAATAACTTCCTATTCTCTCCTCCCCCGAGATCCTGGTAGTGACCATTTTATTTTCTGTCTCTACATATTTGGTTATTCTCTATACCTAAGATAAGGGGATCACACAAAGTTATGTTTTTTAGTGAAAGGCAGACCAAGGCCTTCTGCTTTCTGAGATTTCTAAAAAAATTTCTGATAATCTCATCGAGGATCTCTTGTATGTAAGGTAGCCTTTTTTCTGCTGTTTTCAAAATTCTTTTGATGATTTTGGCTTTTGATGTTTTGATTATAGCATGTCTTGATGTAGGTCTCTTTGAATTTATCCAGGTACTGGGGATTGAACCCTGGGGCATTTTACCATTGAGCCATATCCTCAGCCATTTTAAATTTTTTATTTTGAGACAGAATCTCACTAAATTGCTTAGGGCCTCACTAAGTTGCTGAGGCTGGTCTCAAACGTGGTCCTCCTGCCTTAGCTTCCCAAGTTGCTGGTACTACAGGCCCGTATCACAGTACCCAACAATGTTATGTCTTCTTGTGTTTGGCGTATTTCACATAGCATTTATCTTCAAGATTCATTTACATAGAAGCATGCACTCAGAATTTCATTCCTTCTTCACTGTACTATTCATACTATATTTTGTTTATTTTATCAATGGGCATAGTTTCCAGCTACTGTGAATAATTCAGTCATACACACTGGTATATAAATATTTGTTTGAGTTCTTACTCTCAATTCTTTTGTGTATACATCCAGAAGTGGAATTACTGGATCAAATGGTAAGTTTACAGTGAACATCTAAACCATGCAGCCAGTACGCATATGTAAGTATACCATCACTAATCATTACAGAAATGTAAATGAAGACCACAAGGACATACCACTTTACACCTATAATAATGTCTAGTACCAAGAAAACAAAGTACGGAGAAATAAAAATTAGCAGATGTACCATTTTCCACAGCAGGTACACCATTTTATATTTTCAATAGCAATGTAGGAGGACTGTATTTTATTCCATTGGTCTCTAAATCTATATTTATGCTAGTATCCTCTCTGCATACAGAGGTTTTTAATTCTTTTTTCTTAACCTTTATTTTATTTATTTATTTTTATGTGGTGCTGAGAATCGAACCTAGTGCCTCGCACGTGCTAGGCGAGAGCTCTACCACTGAGCCACAACCCCAGCCCAGGTTTTTAATTCTCAAAGAACCAATTTCAAGTGTCATTAATTTTCTCTATTATTTTTCTTTCCTTTTCTTAGATGTTACTTTACAAATTTTTATTTTATCTTTTCTATTTAGTTATACATGACAGAATGCATTTTGACACATCATACATAAATGGAGGTCCTTCTCATTGTCCTGATTGCTTTTCTCTATTATTTTTCTGTTCTTTATATTAATTGACTCTGTTCCAATGTTTATTATTTTTCTTTGTACTAGTTTTAGATTTAGTTTGCTCTTCCTTTTCTAGTCCTCTATGTTTTAAAAAAGATTGCTGCCTGAAAATTTTATTTTTTAAGGCTAAGCAAAACTTCACTATAATAAACACACATGTACATATATACATTTTTTTCTATTCTTCTTTGAGCACTTTAAAAATATCAGCCCAATGCCTTCTGCTTTTTGAGATTTCTAAAAAAAAAAATTTCTGATAATCTAATCAAGGATCTCTTGTATGTAAGGCGGCTTTTTTCTGCTGTTTTCAAAATTCTCTTGATGTTTTTGGTTTTTGATGTTTTGATTATAACATGTCTAGATGTAGGTCTCTTTGAATTTATCCTACTTATACTTTGTTGAATTTCTTGAATGTTCATATTCATGTTGTTCATCAAATTTGGAAAGTTTCTTGTCATTATTTCTTCAAATAATTTCTCTCCTTTTTTCTTTCTCCTTTCCTTTTGGTAATCTCACAATGTATATGTCGGTCCACTTCCACTTGACCATTTTCCACTTGCTCCATAGACTTTATTGACTCTTCTTCTGAGTTCCTGACTTAATTTTTTTTTTTTTTTTTTTGGTTCCAGGAATCGAACCCAGGGGCACTTAACCATTGAGCCATACTCCTCAGCCATTTTTATTTTTTATTTTGAGATAGGGTCTGCTAGGTTACTTACAGTCTTGCTAAGTTGCTGAGGCTGGCTTTGAATTCATGATCCTCCTGCCTCAGTCTCCCGAGTTCCTGGGATTACAGGTGGGTGCCACTATGTGGGCATGATTTAATTTTAATTGTCCTATCTTCAGGTTTGCTTTCTTTTGTCTGCTCAAATCTGCTTCAAAATCCCTCTAATGAATTTTTCATTTCATTTGTTACACTTTTCAGCTCCAAAATTTCTTTTTGGCTTAAAGTTTTACTTTACATCTCTTTATTTACATTTATATCTTGTTCTTACATTATTTTCTTAACTTTGTCCACATCCTTTAGGTCTTTATGAATCTTTTCAAGCTATTTTAAAGTCATCTTCTGGTAAGTCTATATTTCCTATTGACCTATTTTTTCCCCTTTGAATGGGCTATATCTTTTTTAACGTCTTGTGGTTTTTCTTGAAAATGGAACATTTGAATCTTAAAATATGGCAACTATGAAAGACAGATTCTCGCCCTTATTCAAAGTTTGCTAGGTTTTTGTTGTTTTTAAATTGATATAGGGTATCTCCATCCTAGGATTAGCATGAGGTATAATGTTATACCTTCCCATAGGTGTACATAGTGACCTTCTAAATTACCCTATAGATGCAGTTGCTTTTTGTCTTAGTCCTGAAATGCCTGACATTTGAAAAAGGAAAAGTAAAGGGAGGGGACAAGTGGTTACTCCTTAAATCTCCAGGAAGTCACTTTAGTTGGTGAGGGTTGGAACAACAGCAGACCATCTCTGTGATCAGGAAAGGCAATCAGAACACAGATCCTTGATACCTGGAATATAAAATCCTTATATTCCACCAGCTGCTCTGGTTAACATGTGCATGGCTGCTGCCACAGGACCAAGAGGATGGGGACAGACATTACTACTACACTAAGAGCTGATATTAACTGTGATATACCATTCATGCCATTCCCTGGAAACTGAAAATTTCAGCTACACTCCTCCAAAACATACCTGAAAGATTCCACCAGCACAACTGTGATGTATGTAGGGAGACAGATTACGAGTTCTTCCTATTCTGTTATTGTGATGTCACTCTAAACCAATAGAAGTTGTGAAGCTGACTAAAGGAATGTATATACTGTACTCTGCTTATACTACAGATTGTGTGTTGCTCAGTGCTAATACTAGGTTAATCACCAAGTCATGGATTGAGCAGAGAGGGATGCTGAATAAGGGTTTCAGTTAAGATGATTCGTAGCCTGAAGTGAAGCTGAGTATCAATAAGGCAGTCAGGACAGGAGAAGAGAATGTATCCATCCTTTGATAGCCAGTATGGAGACAGGAAACACTCACCATTCCCCTTGCTCTCCGGGACCCTGTGGCCACTTTTCCTGGACTCCCTAAAGAAGGATGATATTCAGAAGGTAGATCTGGGTAAGGAAAACAGAAATGAGAGGGTGTCAGGTAGAAACACTCTTTCCATGAGTGTGGCAGAGCCTGCTCTTTAACCCTATAAGTGGTAGAGCAGTGGCCAAAGAAAGGGAAGTGTGAAAAAGCAAGGAAAAGGTAGTCCTTGGATACAGCAAGTTAAAGGAAAAAAACAAGCAAAGACGAAAATGTGAAGTCTTGCAAAACAAAATATTAAAAAAAAAAAAAAATCAAAGGACACACAAGCTTTCCTTCCCTTGTAACCAAGCAGAAAGTACTACTTTGTTATACTAATAAGAATTTTCCTGAACTAGAAAAATATCTCAAAAACACTAGACTGCCAATCTGTTTACAGAAATGCATAGATGAAATCATCATCTATAAAGAGAAAGAAAATGAGAATCCAAACAATTCAGTTAAAGAAAATTTCACACATACAAAAAAATTATACTGAGACAGAAAAATCCATAATAAAACCATGACTTCAAGCTGAATAAAATAGTCTCAAACATTTCAGAATATAAAATAGCATTTTGAATCAAAAATCCAAAATCAAGAAACTAAGATGCAGGCAAAACGTGAAATCAAAATAAGATATGACTGAACTTTAAAATAAACCCTCCTTGTAGGATTACTGCATGCAAAATGAAGTCTAAATTACAAGATGTCCAAGGAAGAATAGATTTAAATAAAAACATGATGGGCACTTAAGAATAACCAGAAGAGAATTAAAAAATGAAATAAAGAAGTAAAAAGGATCAGAGAGAAAAAAGATAGAATGAAAAACAGACAAAGGAATAACAGTAATATATTCCTAAAAACAAAACAAACAAAGACAATGGAAAAAAACAAGTATTTAAAAGTATAATTAAAGAAACATTTCAAGAATAGATAAACTGATACAATGGAAAAGCTGACTGGTAACTCTAAGACATAGACTAGAAAAACTATCAGATTTTAAATAATAACAACAAAAACCCAAAAGGATTCTAAGCAAAAAATACCAACTACCATCACATTTTTCAAACTCATAATTCAACTATTGTATATTATATAGGTAGAAATGTACACCTGCCTGCAGGTTACAATGGGTACAGCCACAAAACAGTATGATGGTTCCTCAAAAAATTTAAAATAGAATTATTAAGTGACCTCCATGCCACTTCCAGTTATACAATAGAACTGAAAAGAGTAACTCGGATGAATTGTTTGTATACTCATGTTTATAGCAGCATTATTCATAATGCCAAAAAGACAGAAACAACCCAAGTTACAGTAAACAGATGAATAAACAAAAAGTGGTATCTGAAGATAATGGAATACAGTCTGAAATAATAGCCTGAAAAGAAAGAAAATTCTGAAACATGCTACATGGATGAACCATTAAGATATGTTAGGTGAAATAAACCAAATATGTAAATATTCAAAGTAAGAAATGACAAGAGAAATAAATATTGAGCCCTAAAAAACTGTTTTTTAATGGTGCTGGGGATCAAACCAGAGGCTAACACATGCTGAGCAAGTGTTCTACCATTGAGGTACATCCTCAGTCCACAAAAAAAAAAGAATTTTAAAGTCATATTAGATCATTTTTCAGAGCTCTATACAAATAAGTCTGTATACACAGATGTAGTGAACAACTTATCAAAATTAACGCTAGATAATCAAACTAAACCTTCAAACCAGATTATCTCTATGCTCCAAAACTGTCCCACATAATTGAAAAATAAGAAAAATTTTCTAATTATTTTTATAAAGCAAGGAAAACAGTGGAGCCAAAACTTGACAATATTCAAAAAAAAAAAGAAAATTATGGACTAATTATCACTTACAAATATTGAAAAAAAAATCTAAGTAAAATATTAGGGCTGGGTGCAGTGGCATACACCTGTAATCTCAGGAGGCTGAGGCAGGAGGATCACGCATTCAAAGCCAGCCTCAGCAAAAACAAGGTTTACCAACTCAGTGAAACCTCTTCTCTAAATAAAACAAAATCCGGCTGGGGATGTTGCTCAATGGTTAAGTGGCCCTCCCTTCAATCCGAGGTACCACCCCCGCAAAAAAAAATATATTAGGAAGGAGACTCCAACATCACAATAAGAAAATATTTCACCATGACAAAGTGAAATTTACCCAGACTGGTTCAATATTAGAAAATTTATTATTATAATACATCATATTTGCAGACCTAAGGAGAAGTCATAATTATCTCCTTCTTGTCCAGATAGTCAAACAAAACTCAATACCCTAGGGAATGGGAAAGGGTAAGAGAAGGGAGGGTGGACATGATCAAAGCTTGATATAGGTATGTATGGAATGCCACAGTGAAGTCCATTAATTTGTACAATTAATGTGTTAATAATTATATTAAAAAACTAAGTAACTATTAGTCACTTAAAAAAATCCCTCAAGAATATAAGATTGATGAACTTTTAAAACTCTTTATTTAGAACTAATTTTAGACTCACAGAGAACTGTAAAAAATATCGATTTCCATACACTCTTTACCCAGCTTTCTCTAATGTTAACATCTTAGAAAACCATAATACAATGATCAAAATGAGACAATTAACATTGAGACAATCTATTGACTTAATTAAACTTTGCCACTTTTTTCAATAATGTTCTTTTTCTGGTCCAGAATCCAACAGAGTTTCTCATATTTCATTTAGTTGTCATGTATTTAATTTCTTCTCATCTGCAACAGATCTGTGATGTTTTTGAAGAATACCCTCCATTTTGGTTTGTCTGATGTTTTTTTCATGATTAGAATGAGATTATTTCCCTCTAGGTTACAATACCTCAGAGGCTGTGATGCTGTGTCCTTTTCACTGTATCACATCAATGAGTTCATACTGGTATGTTTGGTGATGTTAAACTTGATCTTGGCCACTTGGTTAGGGTGGTGTCTACTGGGTTTCTCCACTGTAAAGTCACTAAATTTCCATTTATAATGAATAAAGACACTTTGAAATTATGCAAATATTCCATTTCTCTTCAAACTTCCACCCACTGATTTTTGGCATACTTCTATGAAATCTGTAACAGTTTGTTTTATTTTCCTCTTTCATTCCAAACTCATTAATTAGAATTCTATAAGCAAGAATCTCCCCCATTTATTTGTATTCCACTATTTATTTATATCAGTATGGGTTCATATTTTATCCTAGGGTTTTTTAATATAATATTGTTATTATTTTGCTGTTCAAATTATTCCAGCTTTAAACACTGGGTGATTCCTTCAGGTTGGTTTCATATCTGCCCTAGCCAGTAAATGTGACACAGGTGACAGTATGCCACTTGCAGGTTTCAGTCCTAGGGATTAAACCCAGGAACTCTTTGCCCCTAAGCTATATCCCTAGTCCTTTTTATTTCTTACTTTAAAATAAGGCCCTGATAAATTGCTAAGGTTGGTCTCAAATTTATAATCCTCCTTCCTTAGCCTCTATAAGTAGATGGTATTACAGATGTGTGCCACCATGCCTGGCTTTACAGGTTTAAGTCATAAGAATGCTAGAAAGCTTTCACTCATGGGAGCCCTAAGAAGTTCAAGTACCCCACAGAAACATGCAGAGAGGCAGAGGCTCAAGGACTACATGGAGGATAAGGTCCAGTACAGAGTTGATCCCAGCCTTCCAGCCAGCCAACCTACTAAGACACCAAATGTGTGAGGAAATAAATACTGAGTCCCCAAATGACTGCAGTCTAACTCAGAGCACAGGAACCACTTAGCTAATGCAGGTAATGTAAAGAATTAGGTGAGATTAACATGGTTGCTCTTCTAAATCACCAGGTTTTAGGTTAGTTGTGCAGTAATCACGTAATCAATAATCAGAACCCTTTCAAACATGTGGTGCCTTCCCTGTTCAGAGTTCTTAATGATAAAAGCACACTTCCCATCATCCATGTACTTACCCTGCCACATCAAACCAGTTACTAAGGTTGACTGATTCTACCTCTGCCAACTCTCCCCTCACCCTTACCAAATGAGACACTAGGACAATGGCAAAAGCCTCCTGACAGTCTCTGAAGACCACTGCCCAATGTGCTAGTCTACTTCATCTATTACTCCCAAAATGAGCTCTATATACACAAGGTTGACTCATTCTTTTGTTCAGTAATTATTTATTGAGCTTCTAAGATGTGATAGGTACTGTAGCAAATACTGGGCAAATGGAAGTGAACACTGACAAAAATTCCTCCCTCAATGAAATTAAAGTCTAAAGGGGAAAGATGGGCACATGAAATAAATCAATAAAACACACTTTATCAGTAAATGATGAGTGACTTGAAGAAACGTAAAGCATAGAAAAAAAGCAGTAACAGATGTAGGACCAAACGAATTAAAACAAATTTTTAAAAAAAAATTGGTAAAAAGTGGGGCCACTTTCAAATTTTGGAATTTTAAATAGGGTGATCAGGGAAGGCGTTTCTGAAATGACTGAGTAAATATCTGAAGAATGTAAGGGAGTAAACCTATTAGACAAGTGCAAAGACCCTGATGAAAGAGTCAGGCTGGCAAGTGAAGGAACAGATGGATGGTTCACTATATTTGATGGGGTATGACTGGAGATGAAGTCCAAAGTCCGAACTTGTAGGATACTGGTTTTTTGGTTTTTTTTTTTTTATATTTATTTTTTAGTTTTCGCCAGACACAACATCTTTTATTTGTATGTGGTGCTGAGGATCGAATCCAGCGCCACGCGCATGCCAGGCGACCACGCTACCCCTTGAGCCACATCCCCAGCCCCGGATACTGGTTTTTAACCTTGGTTGGAATGAAAAGTTACTGCAGAGTTTTAAGCAAATGCATGTCATGATTTGATTTATATTTGAAAGTTCCTTGTGGCTGCTGTACTAAAATCTTTGGCAGGTAGATGGGGAGTCCAGAGATCACCTGAAGGCAACGATCCAAGTGTACCCTTACAACAGCAACCTGGACTATGGTAGAAGCAGCAGGGGCTGGAGATTGTTAGAGCTCAGACTTGCTTATTATAGAGTTTGTAAGAGCAAGAAATACATTAGGGATGACTGCAAGGTTTTGAGCCTGAGCAATCTGCCAGATCTCAGACAATCTGTCAAGTTACCATGCAATTTACAAGGAGTTTCCAGGTCTCTGCTTCCTTTTAAAGAACTATCTGTATCTCACTAGGGTGCAGCATGTTTGGGGTAGTGATTGGAATTTATTATTGGATACATTAAATTTAGATTGTCCATGAGACATCCAAGTGGAAATGTGAGGTAGACAGTAGAAGACTAAGATATGGAGTTGACAGTAGAGATGTAGGCTGAACCTCAGAGAGATGGCATCTAAAACCTTGAGATTTGATAGTACCAGCAATAACAGAACACAGTTGGAGAAGACAAGAGATCTAAGAACTGAACACAATAGAGGTTTAAAAGTAGAGAAGGAACCAGCAAAAGGGACAGAGGAAGAGTACTCTCCGGAAACCAAGAGCAACTGTGTGAAAGGATATTTTAAAGAGGAAGTAAGCAACTATGTAAAGTGTTGCTGAGAACTGACCATGCATTTAGTCACAGGGAGAATAATGGAAACATTAACAAGGTTATTTTTGATAAGTAGGACTGAAAAAGCTTTATTGTAGTTTTTGAGAGATGACAGAAGGATAGAAATGGAGACAGCAAAATAAACATACTTTTTTCAAGGAGTTCAACTTTATTGGAAGCAAATGCACAGGGCAAGAAAGTGGAGAATAGACAGAAGGATAAGGTGGTATAGTATGATGACATAGAAAAGGAAAAGGAATCAAGGAGTATGCATGGGTGGAACCAAGGGATGCAACTGTCATCAAATCAAAAGTTAAGTTTGGAAAGAACAGGAAAACTGAGAGGCCCAGATTGTGTCACGAAGTAGAAATTACTGTAAGAGTAGAGACAGGCAGAGACAGGGTAAACCATCAAGAATTCCAGATGCTTCTCTCTCTCCTGCTTCTCACCAGGGCTGTTTTAACTGGGGGAAAAAGACAACTGGGGAAAATTAAATATGGACTGGGTATTAAATATTAATAATCATTAATTTTATAAGGTGTAACAATGAAATTATACATGTTAAAATTATAAACATCAAAATAAAATTATACATATGTATATACATCCTTATGTGTTAGAGATGTCTTCTCAAGTTATTTGCAGGTGAAATGATAAAACTGGAATTTGCTGTAAACTACTCTAGCATGGAAAAAAATAAGTAAGGGTACTAGAAGACACAAGAACTAAACGCTGACAATTCCTTTTTTTTTTTTTTTTGGTGGTAGTGCTAAGGATTGAACGAACCCACGGCCTTGTGCATGCAAGGCAAATACTCTACCAACTGAGCTATATCCCCAGCCCCAGAAACGTTGACAATTTCACAGCACCAGAGAAGCCATGGAAATGAGAAGCCTGAAAAATGCTGAGAGGAGAAACCTAAGGAGTTATGAATGAGGACACTAGATTAGACTATCTGTGAAAACTGTCACCCTTACAACAGGCCTGTTTTCCTATAGGAACCAGCTGGGTCTCTGATCCTAGATGACAATAGATGGCAAAGTTGAACAAAAGAAACCTATTCACAAACTGAGATGCAAAAGGTTAAGTGGCACTGACCTGAAGCTGAGCAGTCAGGAGCCCAGGAGTCCTTCCTTTCCCCACCAGGCAGTCTTCTCTAGGCAGCCAGGGGTCACATGAGGCAGAACAAGAATAAAAAGCATTCAGGAAAGTTGGTGGAAATCCTTAAGCTGCAACAGGGTAGCACCTGTTGTATCAGGAATGGACCTGCTACAGAAGGAAAGAAGAATTATGAGCAGCTTCCCAAGAACAGAGCTGAGATGTTAGTCTAACAACCTGCCCTGACAAAATGTTGACACCATGCATGAAGTGTTCCTTTCTACTACTATTAATGAAAGGTAAAACTTACAGAGCACTTAGTGTATACCAGAGTCTATTCCAGGTATTATATGAATTTTATCTCATTCTATCCTCACAACATCCCAATGAAGTAGATGGTATTACCATTTTACAGATGAAAAAAACTGAAGCCCAGTGAGATCAGTCTCTTGCCCAAGGTGACAAAACTATAAAGTGACAGCCTGTAGAAATCAGACTGTGGAGACCAGGTTGTAAGAACTCTCAGTGTGTTCAACTTTGAGATGAATTACCTTTGGTCATGTAGAAGTTAAGTGCTAAATCTGGATGACAAGTCTGTGGAGTTTGTTTCTGGCTATTCGAAATTTCTCCATAATAAATCTTTAAAATGTTGTGATTTTTATTGTCAGTGAAAAAGTTGCCAAATGGACCCCAGCTCAACCTCCTCCTCCAAGGCGAATTGGAAGCCAATGATAATGCCACTGTGGAGTCCACAATCGGTCAAACCTGGACGTGTTTGGCAAAGCCGAGGGGTGGTTGGATCCGCAGGCCACCAGCCCCCAAACGACCCAAAGCCTGGGAACGCTGGGCCCTAGAGACAATTCCTACCCACCACTTAGGAAGTATCAGACCCTGAAAAGCCTACTAACTCAACCCCATCGAAACGATTATGGCATCAGCAATCTCTTCTTCCAATACCGGGATCCCAACCAAGGCCACCACCCACAAGAACCCCAGGACAGAAGGTCAGAGCCCTGCACCCAGCTACTACCCGGTTCGCGATTGAGGTTCACCTCACTCATTCGGAGATGCGCACCCACACCCCCAAAATAAGACATCCGGGAGAGGATGGCCTGATCCACGCCAGCGCGTCCCCTCCTCTCCCCGCTTCCCTGCGCCATCCGCACGGTCCCCAGGCTCATCCCATAGACTAGCCTTTCAGGACCTTCTTTTCCGGGCAGAAAAGAACACCGCCACTGCAAGAGTCCTTCGGAAATCTCACTCACCAGCGCCACCAAAGAACAAGGGGTCTCTCCAGCCACCGGCTGGGGCTCTTCTTCATCAGGGCGTCGGGACTACACCACCCAGAATCCTCGGCGTGGCGGGGGCGGGGTGGGGGTGGGGAACCACACCTCCCAGGATGCTCAGCGCAACCAGAAGCGCGCTGACGGCCTGCAACTCCCATTCCAGTGGCTTCCAATCGGTCTGTCTTCAAGCAACGTGCGGCGATCTTCTGGAGGAAGACCACTGTCGCACCCCACGTTTTCTTAAAGGCATGATCACAGGTCATGTAAAAGCTCCTAAAAAAGGCTTCTCCCCCTGCCGTGACTCTCCCTGAACGCCTCTGCCTCAAAGACTACACTTCCCATTGACCCCTGCAGTGACTTCCCCGTCTGGCGTCAGCGGCCCTGCGACGGGCGGTAGTGACGTGTCAGAGGAGCTCGATTTTTGCTTGTGGTCCTGGCTGGCTGTTTCTGTACCAAACTTCTTCCTTGGTTTATCCTTGCTGCAGCTGTGGGGTTGGATACCTGCGCCCGTAGTCCGTGAGTGCCAGGCAGGCGTAGTTTTGTCTAGCACATATACCTTTAGACGTCATTTAAGGCCGGGAAGAGGGGGAGCGGTCTCCCCAAGGTCTCACACCCAGTACGGGATGGATCTGAATTCGGAGCCCAGGCCCTCAAACCAAACATTGTCTCCGCAGGTGCCCTAATACCTTTTTCATCTTAATGGGGTTCGCGAATTTACAAACTCTTCTGGAGGACAAGAGCCCCATTCTTGGGCCATACCTTAGGGCAGAGTGTGCTGCTGGCCTTATTCTCTGGATCTTTTCAGAATCTTGGTTGAGAACAGGCCTGTGCCCCAATTTGGGAGCAAAAGAGGAATCCTCGTCATTCATGAGAGGTCTTTAACGCCTGGGCACCCACTCACTTCTTGTCTTCTTAAAATATGCTTTTTGACACTTCATCCTTCTCTAAGAAATGACCTAGAGCCAAGGAAAGGTGAGAATTTCTTCAAATTCCTTCTTACCTCTTGGAGAATGAATCCATTCCCATTTCTCTTTCTGAGGCTGCATTGTTTGTTATGAATTCCGTTCCATCTTAGCTCACAAGTGCCCGGTCTTACTGGGCCCATTCTTGGACATCCTCTGCCCCACCCATGACTCTTCATTCCCAACAAGTTAGCTGGGGGTTCAAAGTAACATGCAAGAACATCTTTAAGTATCCAGTGATGCTTGCTGTACAGGAAAAGTATGAACGACCGAGATCTTATGGGCCTGGAGATGAGAGACTGGGGGAGACTTCCAGATGAGCGACTGTCTGAGCTGCCTGGAAGAAGAGGTAGGCAAGAAGAGTTGGAGCATAACACGTTAGTGAGAAGAGTAGGCTATGACCTAATCTCATGGTCTGAGCTAATCTGGATTCCCTCCTGTATAAAACACTCCTTTTTCTCATAATACATCCACTCCATCCTACCCCCATCTCATCTACCTTACATGCTTTTTCTCCTCTAAATTCTTTCCATCCTTCAAGATGAAATCCTTTTCTTTTCATGAAGCTTTTCCAGATCACTCTATTTTGAAGGGACTTACTGAGATTATTCTGACCCTGGCTATACCTGGAAGCTTTCATTTATTTATTTTTGCACTACTGGGGATTGAATCCAGGACCTTATGCATTATGGGCAAGCACTTTACCCCTGGCTGTACCCCCAGCCCTGTTTATTTTATTTTTTTAGAGAAAGAGAGATAATTTTTTAATATTTACTTTTTAGTTTTCGGCAGGCATAACATCTTTATTTGTATGTGGCACTGAGGATCGAAACCAGCACCACGCTCATGCCAGGCAAGCGCGCTATCGCTTGAGCCACATCCCCAGCCCCCTTTTTATTTTATTTTGAGACAGGGTCTTGCTAAATTGCCCAGGGTAGCCTCAAACTTTCGATCCTTCTCCCTCATCCTCCCTAGTAACTGGGATGAGGTGTGTGCTGTTGTACCCAGCTATGCTTGGGGGCTTTTATAAAAGCAGTGCCTTGCCAAGTGTGGTAGCATATACCTGTAATCTCAGCAACTTGGGAGGCTGAGACTGGAGGATCACAAGTTCAAACCCAGCCTCAGAAACTTAGTGAGGCCCTAAGCAACTCAGGGAGACTCTGTCTCTAATAAAATACAAAAAAGGGCTGGTGATGTGGCTCAGTGGTTAAGTGCCCCTGGGTTCAATCACTGGAGATATATATATATACATTTATTCTCTCTCTCTCTCTCTCACACACACACACACACATATATATATATGAATGCATGCATTGCCTGAACATCGCCCCAAGCAATTATGAATTTGGAGCAGAGCCCTGACATCCACTATTCATAACAAAGTTGTTTTTATTCTTATCATGCAGTAATGAGGAAAGATCCCGTTTTAGAAATCTGAAGTTTAACTATTGGTTAGTTGTTGCTATAACTGAACAGTTTATCTGAGTAGGTAATTTAATTTGGAGCTTCTCAAACATGCATATATATCAACTGGAATCTTGTAAAACACAAACTTATAAATCAGCATGTCTGGCCAGGCACAGTGGCACACACCTGTAATACCAGCGGCCTGGGAGGCTGAGGCAGGAGGAACTCGAGTTCAAGGCTAGCCTCTGCAATGGAGAGATGCTAAGCAACTCAGTGAGACCCTGTAAAATACAAAATGGGACTGGGAGTGTGGCTCAGTGGCCAAGTACTCCTGAGTTCAAACTCCTGTACCCTCCCCTTAAAAAAACAAATCAGTGTGTCTGAGTAGAGCCTAGGCATCATCATTTATGAAATGCTTCCTTGCTTGTCCTCAGACCAAAGTAGGTAGCAAAGATTTAATTCAACCAGGGCCTCAGATCCTTTAATATAAATAGCTGGATTAATGAATCTTCAAATTCCTAAAATTCAGACTAAGATTCTGTATGTTTTATATTCATGTGTCTTTGTCTTAAAATGCCTCAAGTTTAAGAATTCTGTATTTACTTGTAATCTAGATACTGGCCAGACTTGGATCCAGATGGTAGAAAAATGACAGGAGTTGGATAGAGACCAGAGCTAATGGTCTTGAAATACAAACACGAGGGTTAGAATCAAAAGAAAGATCCAAACTTTTTACTTAACATTTCCCAAAGCACCACTCTTAAACTGCCTCATTTTGAACCATGGGCAAGAGTGCAGCAGAGTGAATAGAGCTGTGTTCAGCATAACAGGTTTTCGTTGTGTTGAGGGATGTGGTTGTGGATCTCATGTGGGAAAAGTGGAGCCTGTAGGATCCTTAAAAGGACCTGAACATGCCAGGCGCTGTGGTGTACATCTGTAATCCCAGCAGCTTGGGAAGCTAAGGCAGGAGGATCTCAAGTTCAAAGCCAACCTCAGTAAAAGCAAGGTTCTAAGCAACTCAGTGATACCTGTCTCTAAATAAAATACAAAATAGGGCTGGGGTTGTGGCTCAGTGGTCAAGTACCCCTGAGTTCAATCCCCAGTACCAAAAAAAAAAAAAACAAACCTGTACAGGGAAGTGATGGAGAACCATAGCCACTGATCTTACTGGGTGATGATGATGGCTTCTGTTAAAACTTAAAATCTGATCCACTGAACAACTTAAACCCCTTGTGCTGAAAAGGTAGTGCATAAAGCAGCTGCCAGACATAACTGAATTAGGATTCAACTTGAAAACAAAGACATGCTTTTCCACATTCTCCCAGGGAAGGTCTGGAATTTGTGTGTGTGTGTGTGTGTGTACAGTTGACAATAGGTACATAGATGCGTGTGTGTGCATGCATGCCTGCATATACTATTTTTTCAGGCCTTTTCCCCCCAGCTGGGTTTTCTTAGGTAATCTTGATTCAAGTGGAAGATTTTTGTTCACCCAGTAAGGAGTAGATTCAGTGTGCTCTCTTGCTAACCTGAGGCTCCCTTCCCTTTCCACTGCTAGAGCTCACCCTTTTGAGGTCTTTCTTGCTGCACTCTAGACACCTCTACCCTGAAATGGTACCATAAGTACATAACCTACAATTGCCTCATTGTATTTCTCTATGAACAGAAATTTCACTTGTCCGAACCCAAACTTCTCACCCAGCTGGAGCTGTCCAGAAGTCACCTTAGGCCCCTATCTAGGTGAAGGGGAGCTCAATCCAGTGACACAACAGTCAGCAGGTAACACATTGAGGTATGGAGGAGAAAGCTGTTCTCTTGGCATCCTCTTGGCTATTCTCTTGGCTGCTATTTACACTGCTCAGCCCTATAACTTAGTCTGCTGTAACAAAATACCATAGGTTGGGTGGCTTAAGTGATAGAAATTTATCTTCTCACAGCTCTGGAGGCTGGAAGTCTGAAATAAGAGTTTAAGTATGGTTGGGTTCTGCTGAGGGCCCTCTTCCTGGCATGCAGTTGGCCATCTTCTTGCTATACCTTCTTATGGTACACAGAAAGGTTCTTCACTCTCTGGTGTCTTTTATAAGAGCACTAGTCCATCCCATCATAAAGGCCCATTCTCATGACCTAATCAAAATCTAATTATCTTCATAGGCTCCATTTTCAAAATTTTGTAGCATAGGAAGTTAAGCTTCTAAGTAGGACTTTTGGGTGATCATAATTCAATCCATAGCATCTTGCTTCCTTTCCAAGCTTTCATCTTTAACCAAGAGAAGGTTTTGTGGTCTACTGTGTCCCCTTCCTCCAATAGGAAACTGCCCTTTCTGTTACTACTTGACCTCTCTAGCTTATACTCTATTTATATACTTCAGTCTCCCTGATTTTAAAGGTTCACAAACTTTGTGTGCCAAAGATTGCCTAAGAAATTGTATTGAGTATCTATTCCACCTGTGTTCTGATCCAAAAGTTTGGACTTGGGACATCTGGTCCCAATTATTTGTGATTATAGGTAAGTTACTTGCCTGCTCAGAGTTGGTCAAGATCATGGTTTTCAGTTATAAAAATAAAAGTGAAACTTTACTACTGTGACTTATGAAGAATTAATAATTTCTGGTTTCTTGAAATTCTTGGATCTTTAAATAATTTTATATTTAAAAAATTTTATTTTTTAGTGTCAGGAATTGAATCCAGGGCACTTAACCACTGAGCCATATCCCCAGCCCTTTTATATTTTATTTTGAGGCAGGGTCTCACTAAGTTGCTGAGGCTGGCTTTGAACTTGTGAAACTCTTGCCTATGCTTTCTGAGCAGATGGGATTACAGGGGTGTGCCATCACACCTAGCAACAGTATTAGCTTTTAAGAGTCAGCTATACTACAAGGAAATTAAGAGAAGAAAAATAAATATTTTGCCTTTACCATTTCTAGGGCTTTTTATTCCTTTCTGTCGATCTGCATTTCCATCTGGCATTAATTTCCTGTTGCTATAAGAACATATTTTTGCCTTTTTTTTTTTTTTTGGCGGTTTGTAATGTGGGTTTGATGGCAATAAATTCTACATTGATTTGTCTGGGAATCTTTATTTTGCCTTCATTTATGAAGATTATTTTTGTTGGATATTGAGTTTAAATGACAGATGTTCCTTTAGCGCTTTAAAAGATATGTTCCCTTTTAATTTTAGCCTCCATTATTTCTCACTGGAAGTTAACTGTATACTGCTTCCCTGTATATAATGATTCTTTGTCTCTGGCTGCTCTTCAAGTTTTTCTTTGTCTTCCAGCAATTTGATGTTGATATGTCTAAATTATTTGTTGTTGTTAATAATTATCCAGTTTGAGGTTATTGAAATTCTCCAATCTGTAAACCAATGTTTTTCATTATATTTCGGAACTTTGGCTCCCATACCTATAAATAATTTTTCAGTCTCTTTCTCAATTTCTTCTTTTGGATCTCCATTTATTGCATATGTTGGACCATCTGGTATTATCCCATAGTTCATGGGTCTCTGTCTAACTATCTTCAGGTTTTTAAATTTCTTCAGGAAGTTTAATTCTGGATGATTATTTTGCATTTGTGTAGGCTTTATGTTTATTAGGGTAGATTTTGAAAGCTGCAGGTGTTTACCAACTCCTCTACTTTGGCAGGACTCAAACTCCAAGTTCTTAGACCCATGCAGATATTTTTGACTCTTTATTAGAGTGTATCTAGACAAGACCTTACTCTAAGATATAGTCCATATTCCTATGGCCTCTCTGGTTTCTCAGCTGAATGATCAAGGTGTTAATGATGTCTGTGAGTTTGAGGTGAACTAGAATTTCTACAGTTGCCATCACTACCTAACCTCCAGTATTTTCATTCTTCATTTAACCCCATAACAGCTGTTTTCTGATAATCATTGCATAGTTTTCCCTATACAAGTAAAGCCCTCCATTAGCCAAGAAGGAGCTCTGGCCCCTCTGTACAATTGCTTCCTTTCTGAGATTTATCTTATAAATTCCATCTGTTTTACTGTTCCCAAAGTTGTCTGTCTCCTCATAGCAGCAGGACCAATATATTCTGGCCTCACCATTCTATATCATAACCAGTAAATTGTTCCTAAGCAGTTAGCCAGCAAAAATATAAGACACACCTTGTGAGTTTTCTATCTCCTGAGGATCACAGTTTTGTGCCACCTGTGGTCCAAAGTACAAAAATAGTTGCTTTATGGTTTCTCTTGGATTATGGTTATTTACAATGGAAATAATAGTCTGGTACTAGTTACTCTATCTCAGCTAGTAGAACCAATTCATTTCATAACTACTTTAAATCACAAAAATATATTTTTCTGACCATTCTAATTCTAGAGCTAATCCTTATTTAGGTAACTGCCATCATTTGTATTTGAAATGTCCCTCAAAGACTTATGTGTTGAAAGCTTAGTCCTGGATGTAGCAATGTTTAGATTTGGGGCTTTGGGGAGTGATTGGATCATAAGGACTCTTACCTCATCAGTGAACTAATCCACTGATGGGTTTTTAATTGAAGGAACTATTGGGAGTTGCCGGAAACTGTAGGAGGCAGGGCCTAATTTAAGGAAATAGGTCCTTGGAGGCATGCCCTAGAAGGGTATATCTTGTTCCTGATCCCTTGCTTTCTCTCCTTGCTTTCTAGCTGTTATGAAGTGAGTAACTCTGTTCCACCATGTGCTCCCCACCATGATGTTCTGCCTCACAAAAGGCCCAAAGAGATGGGGGTCAAGTGACCTTGTACTGAAAATTCTGAAACCATGAACCAAATAAATCTTTTCTTTAAATGATTTTCTCAGGTATTTTGTCACAGTGACAAAAATATGATAAACAACTAATTTGTTAGCATCAACAAGGCCACAGGTGCACAAGTAACTTTGAGTTGTTGAATTTGTATTCTTTGTCTAGAATACCAGCAAGGTAACTTTTATTAAAACATCCTACAAAAAAAAAATTAGGTACCATTATGACAAGGTTCATCCATAAAAAAAGAAAGATATATTTGTTTGATTTACAAAATATACCTCATTTACAATTGAATAGTCAGCATTCAATTTTGAGGTAAAGTTAGTTTAATAGGTTTAAAATTTTAAAAGTATATGATATTAATGTTCTTGGAAATACAGATGCTACAGGGCTTGGCACACATAATTGTGCTGATGTTAAATTGTAGATGTAACTACACGCTTTACATTCAACTAGTTATTCAGTGCCCTCATGCTGGTTAAATTGATTACACCTTTACACCACAATTATAGGCATATTTTCTTATTTTTGGCTCCCTGACATCTGTTTGTATCCCTCCCAGCTTAATGATTATTCATGCCAAGATATGAGTACTACACAGAGTCAGTCTTGGAGAAAGGAGGGAATCTGCCCCTGAGGAATGGATTTATGTCATTATTTGGTTTAATATGTGTACACCATTTAGTGGGTTCGCAGATAACTTAACCCTCTCTCAGCAGTGTGCCTGTTGAAGTGCAGAATTGGAGACATTGGTTTCCATTGTTTTATGCCCTTAGTTTTGAGTGCATGAATTTAATGGGATACATTTCTTTTTCTAGTTTGTCTTTTGGTGCTGTAGGGATTGAACTCAGGTCCTTGTGCATGCTAAACACACATTGTATCAGTGAACTACCCACCATTCCAGGCCCAGTAGGCTGTTTGAAAGCTATCTCCTACCATGTCAAACATGGCTCATATATTTTTGTGTCTACTATACAAGCCCAACAAAACTTTAAATCATGTGCTGCAAAAGATGTTAGACAAAAGAATTGTTTTGGAATATTTATTGACCCATCACTTATGTGCTGGCTATCACTTCTGGTTGTATTTGGGTAAATGCTTCCAATTTTCTTTTACATGACTTAGTTCAGCCAAATGAGAAGCTGATCGAAGAATTCTATACAAATGTTAGTTACGTTATTTTTGTCCTTGCCCCTAATTGTTATTGCTGACAAATATGTCATTATAACAGGGTATTAATACTTTGGCAAAGATGCCAACCCGGGCTGGGGATGTGGCTCAAGTGGTAGTACGCTCGCCTGGCATGCGTGCGGCCCGGGTTCGATCCTCAGCACCACATACCAACAAAGATGTTGTGTCCGCCGAGAACTAAAAAATAAATATTAAAAATTAAAAAAAAAAAAAAGATGCCAACCCATTAGTAGAAACCGAAGAGGATTCTCTAGCAAAAGGAAATTGAGGTGACTCTAATAAAATCCAATAAATTCTAGAGACTGATATTGAAAACAGTCTGGTGGTGGAGAACTAAGAACTGAGAATTTGGTTGTTACTTGTAGAAATATTTGTTTTCGTTTTAGGGAAAGATCAAAAGAAGAGACAATAACAGGAAAATACTTCCTCTACAGCATCACTTGCTTAGAGGATAATAAAACAATGCTATCTCCCTTCATCTATACCTGTTAAGAACCGTGAGCTTTGGATAACCCTAATAGGCAAAATTTTTGGGGTTCTAGCTGAAGAATTTTCCTGGCCTCTGATAAATGGAACATCTTACTCTTGTAGAAACAATTTTATGGATTCATTTGATCTACCCAGTGGGCTAGCTTTCAATTGTTAATGAACACATAGCCATAATGAAATGTTCCACTTCTAGCATTTTAAAATACCCCAATGAACAATTCAAGAAACCTTTTCAGTGATGTGTGTAATAAATTTAATCTATTCTATATAAACTGGAATTTGAATCAACAAATCCATTGTAATAAATGATTTTTATTATTGATAGAAAGAATTTTAAATGTAAAAATATGCAAAGTCATCAACCCAGGTTAGAAAAATAGAAAAATACAAAAGCATAAATGAACATACTAAAAACTGTATAATAATACTTGTGAAGCAGTTAGAGTACCTGGCACAAGTGAGAACTCAGTACCTGTTAGGTAGTCTTCATTACTGTCACTTCTACCTTTTCCAACCACATTCCAGTCTCATCTTTCCAGTTAGTTTCTCACAAAGTATTGCACTTTTTTTACATTGATTTTCTTTTCATTTTTATTTCTATGCATAGTTTTTAAATTTGGAAACAAATATATTTTCATAAATTTTAGGCCTTTTATTTGGAAATAATTTCAAACTCAATGGAAAGTTGCAAAAGTAGAACACAGAACACCAGAACTCACCTTCCTCATTTCACCTGTTGTTAAACTTTTTGCCCCAAGATTTTTTATTTGCCCAAGTAGGGAAACTTTCTCGCTCTTTCACTTTTGCTCTGTTACACACACACACACACACACACACACACACACACACACACACACACACATATTGTCATTTGAAAGTAAGTTGCATGCATCATGGGCCCTTTTTTATATACCAAATATGTGTTTCTTCAGAATAAATATACTTGGTAGAGTACTTGCTTGGCAAGCATGAAGCCCTGGGTCCAATGCCAGCACCACAAACAAACGAAAAAAAAAAGACTTTCTCTTACTGAGCAGAGTAGGGTAATCAGGTTCAATTAGTTGAACATTGGTACACTGACATAATATTTTTACATACCTTATCATCCACATTCCAGTTTGACAATTGATCTGATCTTGTGTTTTATAACATTTCCTCCTTTCTTACAGGTTCCAGCCTAGGATTAGGTCTAGTTGTCATGTCTCTGATCTTGTAGAATTTTTCCGTTTCGTTTTGATTTTATCTTTTATGTCATGTTTGAGAAAAGGGTCCTTTTTGGTAGTTGAACATTTCTTTTGGGGGATTTATGTAAAGTTTCCACATGATTAGGTTCAGATTTTGCCTTGCTAGTCCTATTTACATAAATGAAGTTTTATTCTTCTTAAGATGTCATATTGGGTGGTGCCCAATTTCTGCCTCATATAGTTACTGGTTTTCCTATGGTACCATTCTGGAGCGATGCTTTAAGTCATGCCTCAATTAGTGATTCCTGCCTAAACCAGTTTACTCCACTGGTCACAAAGCTGAGTTCCCATATCAGTATTCCCTTCATATTTTCCAGTTGGCAACAGGCATTTAAATAGGATTGTTTTTCTTTTTCTCTTTTTGAAATAGGACCTTGCTATAATGTCCAGACTGGTCTTGAACTGGTGGGCTCAAGTGATCCTCCTCCCTCATTTTCCTATATAGCTGGGACTGCATGCATGTACCACCATGCCCCAGCTCAGGAAGTTTTTTGGTTTTTGTTTTTAGTACCAGGGATTGAACCCAGGGAAGCTTAACCACTGAGCCACATCCCCAGCCCTTTTTACATATCTTATTTAGAGACAGGGTATTGCTAAGTTATTTAGAGCCTTGCTAAATTGTTGAGGCTGGCTTTAAATTTGTGATCCTCCTGCCTCAGCCTCCTGATCCACTGGGATTACAGGCATGCACTACTGTGCCTGGCTATTATTTAGTGAATCTTGACAAATGTGGACACCCATGAACCCAAACCCTTCTCTAGATATAGAACATCCCTCTAGATGGTTTCCTCATGTCCCTTCCCAGTCAGTCCTCATCTTCACTGATTTAAAGGTGGATCATTAGTGATTATTGTTATAGAACTTCACATAAATGGAATTTGATCCTTTTTTTTTTTCGGGAGTGGGTGGGCTATGAACTTAGCAAAGAATTGCACATATTCAGCACATCTTCTAAATGCCAGATTTATAACCATGAGCTAGTCAGCTTTTCCTGTGACCAGAGCACCTAACATGAACAATATAAAGGAAGAAAGATTTATTTGGGCTCACAGTTGGCCAGAAACAGAGCAAGAAGAAGGGACTGGGGAGAACAAACCCTTCCAGGACATGTCCCCAGTGGCCTGCTTCTTCCACTAGGCCCCACCTACCAGTAGTCCATTCATCTGTCAATGGATTAATCCCCCAAATGGATTGTTCCACTAATGAAGTCAGACCTCCATTATCCAATCATTGTCTAAAAGCCCCATCTTTGAACCTAGCTGCAACTATATATAGTTGCACAAACTGTGAGAATTATACCAAATGTTTGTTTTGGTTGAGTAACAAGAAGATTGGAGAGAATGCCCTTCATACCAAGGTCACATTCAGCACACTAGACCCAAGAGCATCTGGACTCCTTGCAAGAGCAGAGTGATCCCTCCCAGCTTGGCAGATTAATTGCTTATTGCCATCAGCCCAGCCTAGGGCTCTTAATCCCCCAGGTGTCCCCAGAGTTATCTGGGAAATCTTATTAATTTTAGTTTTTCTCCAATTGGAAAGATACATTCATCTTATACAAGGATGTGCAGACTGACAAAAATACTCCCCCCCCAGCCCCAGTTTGGGCTATAATTATATATTTACAATAGCTAACATTTTCAGCATCTTTATAATGTATCAATAAAATGTTTTAGATCCTCCACCCCAGTTCTGGGGATTGAACCCAGGGGCTTTCTATAACTGAGCAATATCCCCAGCCATTTTTAGTGTTTGAGACAGGTTCTCTTTAAGTTACCCAGGCTGGTCTTAAATTTGAGATCCTCCTTCCTCAGCCTCCCAAATTGCTGGAATTACAGGAGTGCACCACCCTGATCAATTTAAGTGTTTTAGATTTTTAATTTTAATTCAATGATTAGCAGTAGCATGACATCTCATAATGGTAGATGTGTCTGTACTTTTTAAAATAAGGAGATGCATTTTTTACTCTGAAGTGTGTGAGCTTTGTTTGGTAGGTTCAAAATCTTCAAAGGGCTGGGAGGTGTAGCTTAGTGCATTAGACCCTGGATTTGATTCACAGCATTCAAAACAAAACAAAAAACACACACACTTAAATATGAGGAAAATAATGAAGGAATGGCTAGG